GAACTAATTTTTAAAAATAAACAAATAAAAAATTTATTAATTATTTTAATTCATAAAGTATCCGGTGAAATACGGATTAAAATTTTATTTGAAGATAAAGGAAATAAAAATGAATTGATCTGGAATCAGTATTATTGGAGTATAGTAGAACCGATAGCCGCAGAGAGCGCCAGCGAGTTGGGAGTTGGGAGCTTAAGCCCTTTCGGTTCAGAAAGCGCATTGTTAAACATAGCACGGTGACCCAAGCTGAAATATACAGGATTGTGGCCTGGGGTGCGGTGAGAGAGATCGCTAAAGGGTGACATAGCTTGCCGGGTTGACGCTCGTTACGTTCTGCTCGTTCGCTCTGTCTCTCATTTGCTCTTCGCCCCATGCACATTCAAGCACACACAGACACACATACTCATCCATTTATCTCCTTTTAATTTCCCCGTTTTCTTTCTCTCTCATGCATATTCATCAGACGCTAATTAATCATCGTGACGAGCCCACAGATGCTCTCCTGTCTTCCTATTCCAATGTAATAACTTAAACTTACACACAATTCCCTGTACTCTGAAAATTAACAAAAACAAACTTTTATATTCTTCTTCCAAAAACTAACTCGTCTTTCCAAGAAAAATTAAAGACTGAATTTATTGAACCGCTTGCACCGTAAAAAACATTTTCCCCCAAATAATAAAATAAAAGTCAGATGTGGATGTGTATTTTAAAATTAACATTCACGCGCAATCAATCTACAATAGAATAATACAACATAATGTTATGTAATCCTATTTATTACCAGGGTTCACCGTGATAGTCATAGTCATAGTCTTCTACAATACAACTGAGCATCGCACAGTAACACGCGCACTTGCTCCTCGCCCTTTCATCATCATTCTATTCGGGTTCACGCAGACGGGACGCGTATAATTAGGTATCGTTTATTTTACACCCAGTCCTCTGCTCTCTACTCATTTTAGGGCTGCTCGGTACAACTACGTACGATCCATACTATTATGTAAGGTATATGACTAGAGTCGAGTACAACGAGGGGTTGAGCTGATGCATATGAACGTTCATACATACACTAAATGCACCGTAGGGTTTCCCTTGACGTTTATTTCTCTACAGTATACTCTAATACACACACACACAACCCTCATACTAAAATATATTGGCGGTATAGTCGCTCATAGAATGGTTCACTGGTAATGTCATGCGATCATCGGTTCCCTGTCGTCCATTGATATTATATAATGTTCATCGGGGTGCCAGATATACTTCCTCTCCCTTTTATTTTTTGCACTACAAATAAAACACCCTTTGTGGGCGCTAAATGTATTTTAAGCTCTAATCTTTTGTTTATTAAAAATATTCTGTAAAAACTTAAAACTTTAAAGTGTTTGATAAAATTGTTCTTTTTTTTAAAACGAAATCCAAGGAACAAAAGAATAAATTTACATGAAAAAATTCTAAGATTTGATCGATAAAATATGTGAATAGTTGATATAAATATGGTGAATTTTATTTATTTTTTTGAATATATACGAATCCGATTTACGAAAAAGAAGCTATGGGACATTACCGGTGATAGGGACAGATGCGGGGGGTCCAGTGACATTATATGTTCAACCCTCCGTCAACACAGTAGGTGTCGGCGAGCCATCTAAATATCCCCAAAGGGACTCTAACAGTTTTTTTTGTCACATACGTTTCTGTATACAGATATACATTTATACATAATGTGTGTTCGCATCTTCATAACTTGACTTTGAGATGGGTAATCGTTAAACGGATTACTTTTACAATTTTAAATCCCATTTACATTTTTTTTTATTTTATTCTACACGAGAGATATTTTTAACTAATAATAAAAATGTCGTAGTCATATTTTCTAACAAATATATTTTTATTTATTATTTTCTATTTTGAGTTTAAAGAAAATTATTAAACAAAAGATTTAACAAAGAATCGTCGATAAATAAAACAAATAAAATCGATTTTTGTGAAACTTTAAAAATTTTTAATTAAACATAAAACGTACACAAAAAAAAAATTATTTTAATTAATAAGGAAAATTCTTAAAAAGTTATTGAACTGAGAAATTCTTGGTTAAAGTAAATTATACTTGATTCAAGAATTTTTTTTCTTGATTCAGAATAAAAAAATTTTTCAAAAAGATTTTCTCTTAAATCAAGTTAATGTTTTTTCAATATATATTTAAAGTTATAAAAAAAATAACATCAGGGGTGAAAAAAAAAAATGTTTATCCTGAAAGCGATTTATAAAAAACTATTCAATGCATGGTAGTATTGACAAAGTGTACACAAAAAATAATGAATGATTGCTCAGCGATAGCAATAGCTCATCAGGTAGACAATAACGCTGTTGTCGTTTATGTGTTTTGACTGTGAGCTATCAAACGGCAGCACCAGCCAGATTGGGAGCTGACAAATGAGCAGGCCAGTGGGACGAGATGCTGCAGAGAAGACATATGGCCCCATAAAAAAGAGATACAAAAGAGCGAAAGCGAAAAAACGGGGGTAGGTATATAACTATCATCCCGTCGAACTCGATCCAATATTAATGGAGACCAAACACCGCACATTCACTGTATGTACCAGTACAGCAATGACTCTACACCGTCGCGTTTGTTATGTCCCCAGAGTTTGTACACACATTGGTTATTACTCGCCATAATGTCTCGATGCGATACTATACCATGGATAACATAATGTGTGTACACTCCCCTTTCGCACAATAGAATGATCTATGACGAAGGAGGATCATAGATCGTTGAGAAGCATCTTACAGCCTCTTTCTCTTCTCTGCTCTTGTTCCCGACCACTATTAGACCTATAAGTAATGTATCCTTCTATAAAAAACGTCCTACTATCTTTCTTTCTTAATCCTCTGGCGCGTTTACCTTCATTCCATAACCACCTACAGTACCTATATATTTATTTAGACTCTAATGGGTATGTATATTTGTATGTATTCTTGTAGTTTAATACTTTACTCATTTTTATTTGCCCTCTCAAATAAAAATAAGCGATAAAAATAAGCCGAGTTGTGAGTAAGACAACCTACTGGAAATATTAACTAGCCCAAGTATCTAGCCCATCTGCCTCGGTGTGTCAACTAAACAGACCATTTTTTTATTCCATTTTTTATCCCGGTAAATTTATTCCTATCATCAGTCATAAGTCATAATATCACTTTAATTTTGATGATTTATGAAAGAAATTTATTTTTTTTAATATTTTGCGAATTTACAAAAAAATCTTTTGTTTTTTTTTTTTTTTTTTTAATAATCAATTTAAAAGATTAATATTTAAATAACTATGTTGATTCAAAAATAGCTTTTAATTAAAATTTTTTCCATTGAAATTATTTTTAAAATTTAAAATAAATATGTGATAGAAAATCAACGTCATAAAAAAATATTTATCTAAATGAATTTTTATTCCTGATACAATACTGTCACAAACATTGACACTACTTGAATATGACGAGAGGCCCACGTGACAACGGGTTAAATTGGATTTCATCACCCTTGGATAAGCGGATCGGTGGCGCGTGACTGTAAGGGCATCGAGAGGGTGAATGGGTGAATTTTTAGAAAGGCATCAACATCGGCAGCACCAATAACTCAACCAAGAGTGATCCAGGAGCAGAGTCCGAGGGAGACAGACAGAAAACTAGACAGTCTCAATTGGGATCAAAGATATCTCGGATATATGGTTGCAAGTGCTTTGACGTATTAACTAGGAATTGATGTAGACAGTTACGAGCAATTCCACACCTTGCAAGCTTTGATCCAGTTTACCTGAGGGAGCTGCGCTCCGACATTTCCCAATCACCGACCAATGTCAAAGGGGATTTACTCTCATACATGTACGTATGTATTTTCTCCTCCGTATGTGTCTTATTAATTATTTACTTCAAGTTTTTATTGCCAAGTCTCCTCTATTGTGTACTAGTTTATAAATAAATTATCAGAATTACTATGCTAAACTATTATCTTCTCTATATAAACTGATTAGCAAATTTTTTGATGTATGCTTCTACACTTTTATTTTGTTTTTAAATCTAACAAACAGCAAGTAGAAGACGATTATATTTTTTTCTACGTAAAAAAAATTGAATAAGATAAAAAGACAAATAATTATTTATTCCTCAAATTACCAGTGAAATTTTTTAATTTGATAATGTAAATTTTTTAATTTACATTTAATTATGTTTGAAACAAAAAATATTTTCATAGTATTAAAACCTGCTTGTCAACATAATATACATTATAAATTTTTATTGACACATATTTGATTTTAAAATTAATAATCATGAAGTAAACTCTCAAAGTATTTAATTTTTTTCTGAACATATATTTTAATAAAATTAAATTAGAGCTTTTATTTAATTTATGAAATAATTTCCATCTGCAAAATTAATTTTAAAGAAATATAGTGGCGGATGTTTTCTACAATCTGTACTAAAAAAAAAAAAAAAAATACTAGATAATTTATTACCTGAGTTATCAAACAACACGACAATAAACTGGAGCAATTAGTTGAAAGAAACTGTTTACTTAAATCTATTACATAATGTTAATTTTTGTTGAAATTGTTAAATGGTAACTAAGGAAAATTTAAAGTTGGGTCAATAAATGTGGCAGTCAGAGCAAATGTTTTGCAATTCCATCTGTATGTTGAATTTGAAGTTGGGATTCAAAAATAATTACTGACACTCAATAAAGATAATATTCTTCGGTAGAAAGAAGAAATTTATCCACTTGCTGAGCTTCCTTTATAACCGACGATTAGTACAAACTACCAGTCACCGAAAACAACGACAGAGAGCAGATTGAAACGGATCTATAGATCTTCCCGCTAAATTGGATCTGGTGATGTCTGACATTTTAGAAAAAATCGATCAACTTGCGAGATAAGTCAATAACAAAGTAGTTACCGGACAAGTATTATATTATTAAGTATTTCATATTAATATTTTTAATCATGAATGACTTTCAATTCAACGAGTTAAAAAGTATAATTGAGAATGAGCTAGACAGCGATAAAAAGTGGAATAAAGTCACAGATAAGAATAATCATCAAGACGATGGAGGTTACAAGCGGTAATATGGTTTATTATTTATAATAATTAGATTAAATATCGAATATTGATACACCAATCTTTATACAGGGAAATAGTTACTCACTATGAGATGGACAAAACTAAACGCAACTATGCTGTGATATTAAACCATGAGATTTATGACAAAACATTTTTGGAACCGTCATGTAAGCGAGAGGGTACCAATGTTGATTGCAAAAATTTAATAGATACCTTGGAATTCTTGTCATTTGAAGTTGATGAGTTTTCAAATTTGACTTATAGCCAAATTGTTCAGAGACTCAGAAAAGGTAAATTTTGTTTCTGTTGGCGAACTTTGAATAAAATTCTGAATTTACGAATGAAATTACCATGAAAATAAAAAAAAGACAATGGAAGAGATTTTTATTAATAGGTAATTGCATTATAATTGCCAACTGATTCAATCACTCTATGGAGAAAAAAAATTTCTTTTTATTTTCTTATTCCGTATACTATGATTACTCTTCCATTAAATTGATAAAGATATCTTTTACTGTAATAATTTATTCGATTTATATCTCATGATAATAATTAACTCGCAAGTTATCTAACTGCAAATTGTTAAAAAAATTCAAACGAATAATTTGCTATTTCCGTAATTGTCTAAAAAATTTGATAAATTTTTATAAAAGCTAATATTAAAAATTTTATTAATCTGTTCACTATTTAATTAGTAATTTTATTAAAAATTCTTTGACCATTTTTGCAACTTGCAGTATAATTAAAAAGAAATTATAAAAAGCGTGTTAAATTAAAAATATTTATTCAGTTGCAGATATGGATCACACTCAACATAATTGTCTACTTATCGTCGTAATGACTCACGGAGATCTCGGTATACTTTATGCTTACGACACAATGTATTATGCCCGAGACATTTGGTCTTTCTTTACCCCAGAAAAGTGTCCGTCACTTGTGGGTAAACCAAAATTATTTTTCATGCAAGCTTGTCAAGGTAAACTCTTAGACGATGGCAGTATTTTGAGTGAACAGACTGTGACTGACGGATCGTCATTTAACTTCAACTCGCTGATAACCGATGCGGACTTTTTAGTCTTCTATGCATCTGTTGCAGGTAAACACTAGTTTGTCAATTGCTCGGTGATGATTGCAGTTATTAACTTTTTTTTAGATCATCGTTCCTTTCGTAATGAACAACAAGGGTCATGGTTCATACAAACTGTTTGCCGTCAGTTGCGAGAAAGAGCTACCAAAGAAGATATTTTAACTGTTCTTACGTATGTTATTCAACATGTTGCCTTAGATTTTGTCTCCAGAGCACCAGAAAAACCCTTGATACATGAAAAAAAACAAACACCATGCATCATATCGAGACTAACCAAATTACTTCAATTTTATCCAAAGAACGAATCTGATTAGCTTATGATGATTTATATTATAAATTTTGGATGAAATTATTATTATAAATTTACGGAGAAAAATATTTATTCTGCTTTCCATTAGTCATGCATTCCGTAAAATAATGAACTATTATTATTATTATTATTATTACTTAATTAATTTTAACTAAAAAAAAAACTCTAAAGCTGTGAAATTTGTTTTTGGAGTTTATAAAAAAATTTGTAGAACAAATTTTGAAGAGTTAAGTACATAGAATTATTATTAAACAAAATATTAGGTGATATTCGTTGCTTTTTTTATATATATTCTTTTTTTTAATGATTTATTCAACAATTGTCATTCGTCAATCAATTATTTAATTAAATAATTAGTAATGGTGCAATATTATATACTTTATTTAAATTAAATTATTAATATTTAAGAACAAAATACTTAATTATTATTATATGTTCAAAATAATTCCAATTATTTTAATCTGTTATTTTTGTTATGTATTCGATGCAATAATTGAGGCTAAATAAATACCAATGACAAAAAAACCAGAGTTTTTCTGTAAATTTATACATAAATTTTTTCCTCTGAAAGAAAGTGATTTTAAAATGCATGAATCCATGAAGGAAATAAGTAAATATTTATAATTTATACGATAAAAGGAAAAAAATCAAGTGAAAACACAACAACGTGTTGATACATGTGACTAATAATTGATAAACACGATGAATTTATTCACATGCGATAATTTGTATTATAATATTTTAACATAAACAAGACTGTAATGTATAATATATAATATAATAATTAAATGAGGGCATATTCCTTTTTATTTATCTTTAGACAGATTCAATTACGTCTTTTGTTATGAATTTTGTCCTCGTTATGACTCTACTATTCATTAAAATAACACTGTTATTAATATTATTTTAGTAAAATTAAAAATTAAAAAAAAAAATGAAGCTGAGGAAAAAATTTTCAATAAAAATGAAAAAATTTATAAAATTATATTTAGAAATTGTCAATTTTTGTTCTATTTACTGGCAGATTATTTTTGAAAATAAAGAAACACATCTCTTGTTTGATTTTACCGACTAAAAATAAATGAGTTGAACTTGACAACAATCTTTAAATTAAAAATAGATTAATAAAAAAAAAAAAAAAAAAATTTGAGAAGTGTGCAATTATCGTTAAAAATGGTAAACAAACTAGTTGTCGAGTTTTTACTATGCTTGATAATTATGATTATATATTATTAACTTAAAACAGTCATTACCCGAAGATTTTTATATCTTTACATCTAATTTTAAAAATAAAATCTAAGCAAGAATTTTTAATGAGCATCCAGTTTAGTCTATAAAAATATGAATTATTTGCAATTTAATTGAACCTTTCACTTTGTGATGTTATAATTAATCTTATGCTCAAGATTAACAATTAAACGTACAGAATAAATATATCCGAGTACTTTATATAAAGAGAAATCTTTCTATTTTTCTCCCATATAAATAATAAAAATATTTGAAGCATGACAATTTTTTCGAACAAAAATAATTAAATCAAATTATCAAATTTACAATTAAATCTAAAAATTAATAACATAATTAAATAAAATACCAACATATTCATACCTTTCTCTTCATTAATAAACTATTTAAATAATTTGCTTTAGACATGAATATTCTAGAACGGTAACGACAGTTTAGCATAAATCCGTCGTTTATTTATAATGATAATAATAATAACAATATAAATAAATTATTCGCTGAAATTTAGCATTAGCTAATCTGCGGTCATGAGCAATCTCTCTTTTTATATTTTTCTAGTAAAAAGAATAATTACTATTTATACTGGCAGAAAAAAAAAAACAATTCCTTGCTCATGTCGTAATAGTATCATTTATGATAAGTACTGAATATGTGCATAAATACTAAGCAAAAAAAATTCAATTACAAATTACAACACAATCAAATACTCACCAATAAAATTGTTTTACGCGCGCTTACTAGAGGGCAGCTAAAGCGCAGCAACTTCACGTTATAATTTTTGAATGTCATTTAAAATTTTTGTATTTTCAAGTTATTTAAACAATTATTTCCGATAAAAATTTTCTTAATTATTTATCGAGTAAATTTTAATGATTTATGATTAATAAAATTTCCAACGGAATGAAAAAATAAATATGTACCTAGTAGTCGTTGGATAACTTCCGATTGGTTAGTAATCACCAGCTGTCATTTAATGTACTTACATTACACATGTATGTATATACGTATTCAAGATTGTAAATGTGTTGATAAATGCATGAGCAACGAATACACATCAATACGAGGTACTATTTATATGCACATGACACTGTGAATTTCTTTGTACGTGTGAGTATGAACAAACTATACAATTACAAACGTAAAAGTCTCTTGACGACTGCCAGTCACTTTAGAAGAGCATTTACAATCACGACACGAGAGATAATACTCAAAAATATTTAAATAAGTATTCAATTATTTAATACCGTTAAATTTTTGTGGAACATACTGTATATATAAATATATATATATAAACGTCATCGAAGTCATTGTATACAACAGAAGCCAAACAATGTTTGTATTGCACAAATTACGTCTTAATTCTAAAATTAATTTATTATTATTGTGTTTACTAATTTTGATTTTGATTTTCTTTTAATTAGCGCGCACAGACGGATTAAAATTTAAGATGAAGAAAATATTCTTCGCACTTGCTGCGATTTTGGCTGGTGAGTATTTGTTTTTTATGTATTTACTTTATTTGTTTATCTGGTGAGATGTTTTCTTTGTTACTGAAGAAATTTTTTTTAAAAATAATTTTCTTTGTTAGAATTTTTATATAAATATATTTTTACTTGGGTTTGTATTAAACAAAGGTTATTTCGTTCTTTTATTTACGAGTGTAGTGATGGATATTTATTAATAGTTTTAATTGTTATTAATTTTATTATTTTACTACTACTCATCAGAAGAAATAAAAAAAATCTGAGGATGTTTGGTATTTAAGCAGTTTAAGGAATTTTTTAATTTGACGTCTGGATTAGTCATGAAAAGAATTAAATTATGTACATGTTGGGTTTGTTCTGGTGAAGTTGGATGACTAATTCCGACAAACTACCGAGAGTCAAGTTGAGTTTTATTTTATTTTTATTTATGTATTCAATACGAGTTAATGTATGGTATTTTATCGCGACATATCAACACCTAAGACGGAACTAACTATTGAATGTCACTTAATATCTCCCATTAAAAAATATAATATTGATTTAAAATAAATAAACATAGTTGTTTTATCAGTTAGCTTGATACTTAATAAGTTAAATTAATTATTTGACACGTATTTAATGTTTATCTATTGAATCTATCTTTCATATGATAATGTATGATAAAATTTTTTTGTTGATTACTTTTTTTTTTTAAGTAAATTTGACAAAAACAAATTTAAGCTTTGAATTTTAATTTATACGACTGTTAGATGCAACAAATTATTCATGAGATAGTAGAGCGGAAGTATAAATTTTATATCAATTATGATTAAATTGTCTGGACCTTGTCCTCTCATATCTACCTATATATGTGGATGAAATAACAAAGAAAATTAATAATCTGTTACATACTTAGGAAGATATCAGCTACTAACTATTGTTTTTTTTTTTTATTTTATTTTTATTGCTCAGTAAATTTATTTAATTTTAATGAATTTAAAAAAAAAATAATAAATAGTTAAAATGTTCGATAAAAAAATTAAATAAAATATTTATAGAGATAATTGTTGATTTAATCATGTAGGTATTGTATTAGTAATCATGCAAAAAATCAATAGAGTTGCATTAGCATAAGGCAATTACGGCAATAATTGCAGAAAGCTTTTAACAAATATTTTCACTGAGTTTTTTTTTTCTATAAGATATAAAATTAGTATTATAAATTAATATAGTAAACAACTAGTATTTACTAAAATAATTTTTCATTTCAGTTTCAGCAGCCTACGTCGTTCAAGTAGCTCCAGAACATGAGAAACATTATCATTTACTTGGAGAAGAATTTTGTACATGGGGTCCAGGATTCTGGTGTAAAAATATAACGTATGTAAATTACTATTGTAGTATTTTAATTAAAGTATTATTAAAGTTACAGGTATTAAGTACAAATCAATTAAACTGCAATTAATAAAATATTAATATGCAGTGTTTTGTTTTTATTATTGAAAATTTACTGAGTAATTAAATAAAATAAATAGATATAATTAATTTAATGTATTTATGTCCAAAATACAAAGTAGTATTTTTAATAAAGTTTTGATAAACAAAAAAACAAGATGGATATTAATGATTGTCTAGTTAATGTTTTTAAGTACTAAATACTTGTAATTTAAACTTTATTATTTCGATTATTTGGTCGTAAATATTATGTTAAAAGTTGAATTATTTTGTATTGAAATAAATTGATAAATGTAAAAAATTTTTGAATGTAGAAATGCAGCTCAATGTGGAGCAACAAAGCACTGTATTGAGAAACAATGGAAAGATATGAAAGTACCCGAGGATCGTGACAGCGTCTGTCAGATTTGTAAGGACATGGTCCAGCAAGCGAGAGATCAACTGGAGAGTAACCAGACTCAAGAAGATCTGAAAGCTGTATTTGAAGGCAGCTGTAAATTGATGATGGTCAAACCAATTGTCGAGGAATGCGACAAACTGGTGGATCAATTTATTCCAGAACTGGTTGAGACTCTCGCCTCTCAAATGAATCCATCAGTCGTCTGCTCAGTTTCTGGGTTATGTAATTCAGCAAGAATCGATCAGCTCCTGCTTGAAAATGAACAAACTCTCAAGAAGGTACGTCAATAAATTTTATTTCAACATTGTTTTCTATTTTAGTTATTTTACGCGTTAGTAAACTTGATTTCGTGACGCAGTTATTTTTTTTTAATATTTTATGAAATGCTGGATAAAGTATACGAATAAACTAATTTATTTAAATGTTTGAAGGCTTATAAAAAAATAATTCCATTGAAAAATGATGAAATCGAACCTGACGAGTGCTCTAAGTGTTTCACAATAGCAACACACATGGAAGATAAATTGAAGAAAACATCGAAAGATCAATTTGTTGACAGACTACTCGTGGTTTGCGGACATATGGGCTCATTCTCAGATGCTTGCTCATCAATTGTTCTAGTTCACTACAGAGTATTGTATGACCAACTTCAGAATAAATTCAATGCTAAAAGTATCTGTCATTTATCTGGCCAGTGTTCAAGCGTTTTTCACCAACACGAGGATGAAAGTGACCAGGTTTGTTTTATATCATATAATTTTTTTTTATAAAAATTTTTTTCATTGTTTATAAATTTAATTTATTTACAGACTCCCAAGGTCGAAATCCGTCCTCTGTCAAGCGTAGGAATAGTTGATATTGGTGATGATTTGCCTTGTAAATTATGCCAACAACTGGTTGGTCATCTGAAAGATTTACTTGTTGCTAATACAACAGAAACTGAATTCAAACAAGTGCTTGAAGGTTTTTGCAAGCAAACTAATTCATTCAAAGATGAGGTATGTAATTATTTAATTATTAAAAAAGATAAATACTTTCAATGATTCAATTATTATTTTTTTTTTAAACAACAAACTCAATACTCTTTTACTCTTTTAGTGTGTATCAATTGTCGACCAATACTATCCCGAAATTTACCAATACCTTGTCAATGGATTAGACAGTAATGCAGTTTGTGAAATGGCCGGAATTTGCCCAGCCCCTGGCCGAAAATTGGTACTAAATTAAACATATTTTTTTTTTTAAATAAATAAATATTAATGTACTCTTTTTTTCAATAGGATCGACCAATAATGCCACTCTTGCCGACTGAATCAGCTTCAGTAGCAATCGAAATTGCCAAGGAAAGAAAAACTAAGAAAGCACACAACTTGGGCGAAAACGGAGCGGAAGTAAAAAAAACTGAAGCAGACGAGATGCAGCTTCCAACTGATTTATTAACTACTTCACTTCATATATTGGGTATGCCGAACATGGATGTAAATGGACAAAAGACCTGTGCATTATGTGAATTTGTACTTCATGAATTGCAAAAAGAAATTACTGAGACATCAACAGAAGTAATTTTTCTTTTCCAAATAATTTGATTAATTAATTAGTTGATTATAAAAGTGAATAACAAACTGATTTAATTGTAGGCTGAAATTGAAGAAGCAGTCAATAGTAAAGTTTGTGATAAAATGCCTGATGTCATTGGTCACATGTGTCACGAATTTGTACAAACCTATGGTAATGCAGTAATTGCTATGTTTGTCCAAAAAATTGACCCAACATTGGTAATTATTTTTTAAAAATTCATTTCTAAAAAAGTGAAGAATCAGTTAGTTTTCATTAATAATTAAATCAATTCTTCGGTTAAAGGTTTGTCCGTTGATGCACTTGTGTCCAACACAAGAAGCAATAAAGGAATGGGAACAAATCCCAGAAGAACACATGATCAAGAGTGAAGTCGAGGATAAACCAAGCTGCCCATTGTGTCTTTTGGCAGTTAATCAGCTCTACAATGTTATCAAGAGCAACAAAACTGAAGTAATTTATATTTAAACTATCATCGAATATATTTTTTTAACTAGTCACTAATTATTTGCATTAATTTTGTTTACAGGAAAATATAATAAGTGAACTAGACAGATTGTGCTTACACTTACCACAAGATCTGTCGAAACAATGCGTTGACTTGGTTAAAATTTACAGCAAAGAGCTTATTGATATGCTTTTAGCAGACATGACACCACAAGAAGTTTGTGTTGCGTTGAAATTGTGTGACCCACAGAAAAACGTCGGCCCGACAAGCAATTACCCAATGGATAAAGACGGCGAAATTAGTAAGACTTTATTAATATTGACTTAGTTGCTTATTAATGATGATTTATAAATTTTATAAATATAATTTTGAATTTTTTACAGTCAGCAATGAAATCCCATACTTCTCACTTCAAACATCAAAACCGTTTTTCTCGGAGAAAGAAACTACCAAGTGCGTAATTTGCGAAACAATTATGGAGTATTTAGAAAAAGCGATGAGCAAAAAATCAACTAGAGATGAAATTGAAAAGTTAGTTCATGAAGTTTGCGAATATTTACCGAAGTCAGCGGCTAAGCAGTGTGATAACTTTGTCAATGAATACGCGGATTTAGTTATTACACTTTTGTCTCAAGAAGTTAGTCCCCGTGAAATCTGTACTCTTGTCAATGCATGTGAAGACAAAGTTCAGCAAATAATGGGTAATTAAACCATTTAATTTTTTTTTTTGATAAATATTTTTTTAGTAAGTGGCTTATTTTTGAATCTCAATATTTTTATAAGTTGAAATTATTTTTTTCTTAATTATCAAACTCATCGAACAAATTTTTATATTATTAAGATTAAAGAGTAGTGAAACTAGTAAGTTTGAATCTTAATTATATTATAAGTAATAATGTGCACTGTTTAATGTAACAAATATACAATAAAAATATCAATGATTTATTTTACTGCAAATTATTTTGTTTGCATGTTATATCAAAAAATAATTGATTAAAAAAAAATAAATTAACACTAACTAGCTTTGGAAGATAAACTAATTCTAAAAAAATTATTACAGAATCAGTATCTGAGTGTGCATTGTGTCAAGCGATCCTTTCATCGGTTGATAATTTACTAACAAATCCTAAGGTTGACGATAGAATTGAAGAAGTAATTAATTCTGCATGTGATTACATACCGCCGGGCAAACACGATAAGGTATGCTTTGATTTTTTATTTTAATTTTCATTTCTTTTATAATTTAATTTTCATTACTAATCCTGGTTTTTAACTATTTTAACAATAGTGTGTGATGCTGCTTGAAGTTTACGAGCAGAGTATTATAAACTTGTTAAAAATGAACGTCGATACTAAAAAGATCTGCACAAAAATGTCTCTATGTTCTTCAACAGACATGTTTGCAATGTCTCACGTTGATTTTCGCAAAAACAGACTTCAACTTCGCAATTTGAATGTTAAGTAAATTACTTAGTGGACAGCTACCTTTACTATGGCTGTTATTACTTTTTCGTATCACTTGAGACTTTTAAATAAAGTAACATTTAAAAAAAAATTATATTGTTTATTATCATCAAATGATTATTTATAAGATCTATTATTATGATATTATGATTAATATTACTGTACTGTTGAGTGCTTAAGATTTGTGAATTCGCTAAGTAAATGTGAATGTTATGTAAAAATTTTTGGTAATGAATAAATGGATTGTAAAATTATAAGGCTTTTCAATTAATATTCCCAGTTTTTAGTAGTAGTAAAATATATAATTATAAGGATCAACAAACCTCGGTAAAAAAATAATATGCAGAAGGGTCAATCCAAATGTCAGCTAGCCAAGATCACTTAACTGCTATTTTTCTACCGCAAGACGCCAGATGATTGGATTCAGCCACAAAAGCTGGATTTTTTAAGGTAACAGATGTATTTTCTTTCATCTTGCTTGTTTGACAAACAACACTTTGTTTCACTAATTACCTACATTATTATCACTTATTTATCACGAATTAGTATGACACTGAAATTAGCAGTCATCTGACAATTCTTTGAATTTTTATAACAAATTAACTATTATAAAAAAAATATTTTAAAAAATTTACACTTGTAATTTTTTAATATTTCTGTATAAGGAATTTTTTTGCTAAATTTTTTAAATTATAATTTAATTGTTACTCCGCTAACTAATCTGGTAATTTTAAATAAGAAAAATAGTTTAGCACACTACTAATTTGAATTAAAGTCAAAATTCACTCAAAAAAGTGATTATCCATACATAAAAATATCCTGAAAAATTCACAGCGGGAATATAAAGGTCCTACAATTATATCTATTTATTGAACTTATCATTTCCGTTAAATATGAAACTTATTCATCACTCAACTACAATTAAATAAAACTAAAGCTTATTTAATTATTTTTAACAAAATAAACTTATTAAAGGTGAAATTAATAATTGTGAGATCCAATATTTTCTGACGTTATACCAAAGAACAAGAAATAACCGCCATTATGGCGGGATGGCGTTCGGCTTAAACTAACGGTGAGCTTTGTTGGTACTGCAGCCCTCTGCCGAGTAACTGTGAACTATTCTTCCACTCCTTTACTTATTCAAAGAACATTTGAAAATATTGAAGATATTGAAGATATAACTTACTACTTTTTTGTTAAAAATATTTTTTAAATATTTACAAAACAAATTAAAAATTTCAATTAATTAAATAATAATAAAAAAAATATAAAATTATTAAAAATTTTTCTATTGATTACTCTACATTAATCAAAGCCGCCAAGTTCTTGAAATTAAAAAAAAAATTTTACGCCAATTAAGTGAAAGTAATGTAATTTATTAATTAATATCAAAAGTTTACAAACTATTCAACGACATATAATTAAATCATAATTAAACTTTCAATCTTACAAAAAAACATGTAAACATTTTTAAACTTTATTTCTCATCTGTCATATAAACTATTAAAAATTACTTATAGTTAATATTATCAATAAGTAGTGCTTAGAAAAATGAAAAAAAAAGAAAAAAAACCTAAATTATTTAATCAGACTCAGCTTCAGTATCCTGATCAGTACACTCAGCATTGCGATCAGCAATAATTTCAATTGAATGAGAATTTTGTTCACTTTTAATTGATCTATGAGATTCATCCTGCGAGTTTACATCCGTACTTCTGTTAGAGCTCAAAGATCTAGACCTTGATCTTAAATTTCTGGAGCCAAAACTATTTTCCTCTCCATTTTGTCCAGCTCCTTCTTTCTCTTCTTCTTCTTCTTCTTCTTCTTCTTCGTCGCTGACATCAATTCCCTCATCACCTTCATTATTATCAGTAACTAAAGACTTGAAATGGTTAGTACGAGATTTTTGAACATTTAACTCATGACCATTTAAGGGACGATGCTTGACAATCAGCTTGGTACGATTCATCAAGCCACCACCTTTTGTTCTCTTGCTCAAACGAACTTTTGTCTCCAGTTCATTGTAATACAACCCGTCGTCCCGCAAAACCATAAAATAATTTTCCTCGTAGCCCTCAGTCGATTTGGATTTAACGTTCCAATTGTACTCTCTAAACATTTTATATTCATAACTCTCGTCGTCTTGATAATCAACACCCGCCTCTATGTCTTTTTTACGTTTCTCAAGAGTTTCGTCACTCGGCAAAAAATAAGCAACAAACTGCTCTTCGTTCTCGTCCATTACTCCCCGCAACATTGCCTGTGACATCAATTGAAGCTGCTGAGGTTGTGAGTACCCAGCGGGTGAAGGATCTATATCGAATATAACCTGAGCACAAGGATGCTTCCAGAGTTGAAAGTCTGGAAAAACAGGCAACACTTCAACAGGATAGACATTGGGCTTGTTGTGGTGTTTCTCAATGGGTATCTTGTTATCTGCAAATGTTTTATCAATGGCTTTCAACTGCTGGTCATGATCTAAATAATGGATCCCTTCAGCGATAAGCTTTTTAATACCTTTACCGCCAACTTGAGCTTCTATTTTTTCAAATACTTGCGGCTGGAGTCTAGTGTTTCCTGGTGATATGTACTCAGTACTACGAAGCCATACTACTTTTGTAGAATACATTTTTGATCTTTTTGAAACAGGTAGTGTAAAACAATCATCTTCAAGGAGCTTTTCATCGTCAGGATGCAATGAAGTTTCCGTTTCGGTACTTGCATACTTTTCAATGTCTACTAAATCAACGTCTACTCCCATATCGTAATCCGTAAGAAATTCATGTTTATGATTTCTTTCTAATGACGATGGAGTATACTCGGAGAATCTGAAATTAATTAAATTTAAAATGACTTTTACAACCTTGGAAGTATACATGACATTGAAATTAGCCGGCACTTGATAATTTTTTGAAAAATAAACTAGGTCTAGAAAACTATTTTTAAAAAAGTGCATTTATATTTTTTTATAATTTCTAAAGATGGAATTTTTAAAATACATTTTTCTTGCCATAATTTATTTTTTAAAAAAGTTCTAAAAAATATTAAATACCTTTCAATTTCAGTATCATCTTTTGTAACCTTTAATCAAACGAAAATAAACAAACACTTATAAATTATACATACCTTGTAGATTTAAATGGAATAATCAGAAATTTTAAATCAAACGGAATGTCAGGAAGTTTATTAGAATACTGCATCCGACACAAAATATCAGAATGCTTGCATTCATACATTAGTGGTGTTTTCGTTGTTTCTGGAAATGGACTTATACTTGTGTCCATAGGCGAGGCTGTCTCAGTAGGTAGCATTTTTAATCTTAGTAATTTATTAATTTATTAATTAACGATCAAGTCTGTTTTTACTGTGTATTTTTAGGACTGGTATGAACCTAACACACTGACACCTAAGAAACAATTGAAGCTCGACTCATTCGACTGAGTGTATTTGCCGTGTCGTTCAAATCAACTGCGTGAGTAGACAGAGTAAGTCACTAAGAGGACAGTATACAGTGCTCCCTCTCTAAAATATTTTAGCTGTCTCAATTTGTTTATTATTTACTATTTTACTAACAAGAGAAAAAAAGATAACCTGTCATATCTTGGGGAGCACTGTATAAATAAATATAAAAATTAATTTAATTATTTGATAATTTTTGTAACAAATAAGTTATGATAAAAAAATGAGAATAAAAAATTGACATGTAGAGATTTAAAAAAATTAAAAATGTAATTTTTTTTAAATAATTTTTTTGAACAAATTTGTTTGTTTAAAAAAATTGTCAAGTGAAAAATTAAATGTCATTTACATCTGAATAAATAAAAAATATACAGATTATAAAATATGTGTTTAAATAAGCAATTCTAAGAATTACTCACTAGAAAGAGTATTAAATTTCTAAACTTTATTTACTCAAAGGTTTCTAAGAATTTTATAATATGCATGAAGGATTATTTTTCAAATAAATTTTATTTATGTCTTACCAAAAATTGTAATATTACCAACAGTAGACATTTTAGAAAATACAGCCGCCATCTTGTATTATTGACTGAAATAAAAGGAACTGCACATTTATACATAATCAACCTAAAAATAATTTTTTTAAAGATTATTTAGAATATTTTAATTTGATTTAATAATACAGTCATTAAAAGACTGATGTTAATTGTTTAATAAAATGAGAAGAGACGTGCTAAAGTTGTATAAAGATTTGTTGCGATACGGTGATAATTTGAAATTTACTCATAAGAAATATTTCAAGTCAAGAGTAAAGCAAGATTTTTATGATAATTTAGAGTTGAATAATCCTAATGACATTCAATTTTGTTTAGAGGTAATTATGACTAATTAATTTTATTAATTATGTAATACAATCTATTATAAATTATTAAAAAAAAAATTTTTTTACAGAAAGGACGTGAATTATTATCTAAAAAAAAAGTCATCTAGTTTTTTAACTGTTTGTTGGTCAAAAATGTTCTCAATAAATCAATCGGTCAAATTAATAATAAACAAACAATTACGTTATGTCTCATTTAAAAAGTACTTAGATTATTCACGAGTACCTAAGCTTGACGAAAACGATTTAGAGGAGCAATGGGTCAAAGGAAGTGGTCCTGGAGGCTCTTGCGTCAATAAATCCAGTAACTGCGTTGTTCTCAAACACAAACCGTCTGGTATTGTTGTTAAATGTCATCAGGTTCGAGATGTAATTGAAAATAGTAAAAGAGCAAGAGAAATTTTAATAACAAAACTAGACAATAAATTGAACGGTGAGCACTCGATAGAAAACCAAACCAAACAAATATTGGCCAAAAAATCAGCAGACAGATCACGAAAGAGAAATAAATTACAGGAGTTGAAGGAAGCATTCAAAAAACGTGAAGGCATTGATTAATTTTTGTCAATTGTTTCTTTGTATTTTTTTTTAATTTTTTTGTTCGTTTAATTAATAAACATATTTTTTCAATAAAGAAAAATTAAATAAATAATCCACTGGATCGTAAAAAAAAAATCATTTTTATAATAAACAATTATCGTTATATCAATTAAATTGTTCCTATTTTCGGTTAAGATATTACATTTTTTATGTCAATAATTACTATTGTATTTATTTCATCAATATTATTACTTATGCAGTCTTGCGTATACTAATTATTATTATCATAATTATAATTATTATTTGTTACTTTTATTTATTCACGAAGCGTGTGATTGAATGGTATTTATCATGATTATTATTTACCGATGTAATATACGTCAACAAACAAACAACGTAAATTATTTATACAAAATAAAATTAAAAGTATTAAAAAAATTAATAATAATAATTAAATATATACTTGACATTACTGAAAAATTTTAGCACGCCGCACATTTATAATTTGTGTCGACCTGTATAGTATTTTCTTCTTCCTCTTTTTCTTTTTTTTTTTTGTCATTTTTTTTCTTTTATGTTTTTATAATAATAATAATAATAATACATTTCGAGCTCTACATATGAGAAAATGATGATAAATAGTACACATTAGACAAACATTAATTTGTACAGTATTAAGAGTAAATAATTTTTAAAAATTCAAGTCTGAGCATTATCATACAATGTTCAGAGTCGAATTGATAAAATTTAATAAATTTACAAGTGGTGTTTATCATTATTATTAATTATTTTGTTAAATAGTTAATCTGTATAGTAGTGACTCAATAACTTCAACTGTTTTTAATCCACCGGCTAATGAAGCCTTTAGAGCGCTTGTAACGTTTAGCCGGCGGTGATGAATTACGGTGTTTAGGCGAACCAGAGCTTCTTAGCCGTCGATTACTGGCAACAGTCACAGACAAAATATTGTGATCCATGTCAACCTGATCCTCTATTTTCATTACCCTGACAACAGGCTGAAACTCAATACTAGATCGTCGTTGCTGTAACTCTGGCGCTGTTACCACTATTTGTTGTTGTGGGATGACTCTTTCGGACAGTGGGCAATCCATCTCGTCGTCACTGTCATCATCATTAACTTTTTTACAGTTTTCATCATCAAAACTCATTTCCGACGTACTCCTGTTCCTCCGTGATCGTTTTTTACTTCTTGCGCGCACTAATGCTTGTTTCTTCTTGCTAGGACTGCTGGTAGAATCTTTCTTCTTGCAGGAAGCGGCTTCACGATGCGAAGAGTCGTCATTTTGCCGAGTCACCTCAGTAACTTGACCACCAGCAGTGCCATCAGCACCCGACGATTCAGATGCGTTCTCACGTTGTCGTCGTTTTGACAAAGTCGTTCCTCCTGAATAATTTTTCCTCAATATTACACTAGAGGATGTTTTTTGTCTGCATAAATTATCATGATTTTCTATTTCAGGATGCGACTCTATTGTCATTGACGAGGACGGCCTACCGTCGAGTACTTCACGCTGCGGACGTTTACGCGTAGCTTTGGACTTATTTTTCGTACTTGCGCGACTATCTTGTTCTTTCAAAACATTTTCATGATTATTTTCATCATTACCTTCATCATTTTTTTCTTTATTACATTTTCTCACCAATTCATTGCTATTATCTTCATCAGGATTTTTATTATTATTATCTAATTCACTGGGCTGACTCAATAATGATTCATTTAACTCAGTTAAATTTTTATCCTTGGTTGGCTGGGAAATATTTGAATCATGAGACGATAAGTCTGCAGATTCAGTTCCCGGTGCTTGCAGTCTTTCAATTATTTTTTGTTGATTTAATCTACTTTCTGTACCCTCTTCTTCTTCGTCCTCATCCTCATCTTCTTCTTCCTCTTCCTCCTCATCTTCATTTTCGTTTTCATTCTCGTTCTCATTTGGATTGCGAGTATGAGTACTTTTAGCCGGTACGTTTTCACGCTCAGAGTCAACATCCGGTGTCGGTTGTTGCTTACACTGCAATTTTTTCCTCGCTTTTATTCCAGGCCAGCCTGTTCTATTTTTTCTTCTCTTGCGACGTTTCAACGGAGATTCAACAACAACTTCGCCGCACTCTGAGCTTGCACACGATGAATTGTCAAAAACATTAACCTGCTGAGGACAATTATTAAGCAATTCAAGTAAATTTGGTGGTGGGCCGGATGCTTCCGATGGTATGATTGACTGATGACTCAAAATTTGTTGTAGGTCTTGATTTTCATTCATGTCTTCTTCTCCTTCACTGATAGTACCCAAATCTGGCTCGAATGAATCGTCAAAAGGTATATCTGCATTCAGCATGTCGTCTATACTCTTAACTATTTCTTTAAGCTCAAAGTCAGTACTAGATTTTGGATCAGATTTAACATTATTTACATCAACTCGGGCATCTTCCGAACCACTGAGATTCGTAGGCTGTGGTTGTAGCTGCTGTTGTTGTTTTTCTTGTTGAATTTGCTGTTGCTGCTCTCTTTTGCGAATAATTGTCGACATAATAGCCAAAGTAGAGGCATGACATCTCGGACTTTTTCTGGGCGATCGTCCAAGGCCATGTGGACCCTGATTGCGTGCTCGTTTACGGGATTCTGTTTTCTGACACAACTTCAAGAGATTTTCATGAAAATTTTCAATCTCATACGGTAACAAAAATGGCTTATTTGAATCAGGTTCACTAAACGAATGCCAGAATTCAGCCCCGAGATCTTGACGCTGATATGTCTGATACCAAGGCTCGGATTTCGGAATAGACTCAAATGAAAAGCGCATTTTTTCAATCTCAGCTGACGGCTTGGACGGATAAAGTTTTTCTTCAGTAGGTATTGTCACTTGTAAACCTTCAGCATTTACTTCCGAAACAATAATCGTTGTTTGTTCATTTTTCAGCGTAACTTGCTCACATTTATTTTCTTCCGGAGGATTATCTACTGGTTTAATAATACAAGTCGGACCATTTTGAAATCTCAGCCGACAAACAGGTGTTTCGAATTTATAGTACTCGGAATTATCTTTTATTAATGCTTCTGCTTGCGTACGTCGCCTCTTTTTAGCACGACCCACATTACTTGAGTCCTGTGAATCATCGTCAGCAGGAGGTTCTTCTTTGACCGGTGAATTATCCGGCAGCTCGACGGTAGTTACCGGTGATGATGATATAATAGATGACGAAGATGGTTTATTATCACCTTCACTGGACTCAGTGTCTTTAGGAAGAACACTACTACTACTATTACCACGTGAATCATTATTCCAGTCACTAGAATCACGTTTTGAATCACCAAACATAAATGACTCCGCTTCATCACTCAACAGTGACAACTCGGACTTTCTCACACGTTTAAACCTAACGACAACTGGCTTCTCACTTGATGGACCCTCGTCTTTCTTAATCTCTTTTTCTTTTTCTTTTTCTTTTTCTTTTTCTTTTTCTTTTTCCACCTCTTTCACTACCGGCGTACTCTGATCATTTATATTGCTATTCAAATGAGCGGTATTGGATCTTAACTTATTACCTATAACTTCGACTTTGTAAAATGCACGATTGTCTTTTATCAAACGTTCTTCAACGGATTGCCTTCGGCGGCCACGGGACGATCTTACCGCGATTCTCCTAGCACTATTATTGACTCGATTACACTTTGTTTTATTTGTCTCTTCCTTACTATCATCATTATCTTCAGATGGACAAATTTTTGTACTTTTTACGGATTTATCATTCGCATCAATATTAATATTATTATCGACAGTCGTTGACTGATTAGTTTTATTATTATCAGCACTGCACCTAGTATCTAAAGTCTGAACAAGATTGTCTGGCTTTTGTGCCAAAACAATCGGTTTAACCGAAGAACCATTGGCACAAAAATCTTTACCTGGTGATTTTTTATTACTATCATTATTTGTTATTATTCTAACTGGACACTCTTTTTTTTGATTTAATAAAACATCATTAGAGTTATTATTGTCTTTAGCATTATTCTCACTAATACTTCTATCAGGACACAAAATACCTTTTTTATTACGACGGTCATCACCCCGCGATGATGACAATTGTTGATTTTTTTTCGACGATTGATCGCGACTATCTTTATTTTTAACCCTCACATCATTAAGTTCACTCAGCGGACTTTTTTCAACAACCGTAGCCGCTGTTGTTAATTTTTCATCTTTCAAAGGATCCTCACTATCGTCATCACACTTATCCGGCGAGTCATCTTCTTCAATCCAAATAGTACCTTTGGAACGTTTTTTAATAGTATAGCGTTCAAGTTTGTCGAATAATTTTTCACTCTTATCAACTTCATGCCACGGACTACCTTTTGAACGGAGTAAATGTCCGCTCTCATGTTTTGCACGAGCACGTAAATTATGAGGTGAACTTAAATTTAGATTGAGCTTACGTCGCGCCCCATTACACTGTACCATCTTCAATCCATCTACTCCATAATCCGCTAAATCAGACTTGTCGGTTTGATTAACTCCCTCGTTTCTTATTACGTTGTGAAGATTGTCGTTCCCATTCGTATACAAATTTTTTCTGCAAAAAGATTTTAAATAAACACATATTATAAATAACTAAAATAAATAATAATTTTTTTTCTATTTTTTAATAAAAATATTAATTAATAATTCAACTAACTCAACGTCATCTGATTGATTAAGCTTTAAAAAAGCCTCAACATTAGCCCCAGCATTTATCAATGAATCGAGTGATAAAAAATTATCATCATTACGAACAAATGTAAGATGTTTATCACTCTGCACATGCTTTGTAAGATCCTTGTAGTCGCACCGGCAAATTTCACAAAAACCACCGACTAACTGTTCCGATCTTCGAGCACGTGTTGCGGTATTAGCTCGCGGCTTACGAGTCATTTCTTTCTTCTGAAATAAATTAATAAAAAAAATAATTACAATGAAATAGTACACGGAAAGAATAAGATGACACTGAATATCATCTCCAATTATACTAAGTGAAAAAAAATTTCCGATAGTAGCTAGAAAAATCCAGATTATACAGCGTGATACCTAGATTATACCAACTACTGTCTGAAATTTTTTTTCACTTAGTATAATTGGAGATGATATTCAGTGTCATCTTCTTGTTTTTTCCGTGTAGGCGTAAATCAAACTTCGAAAAAAAAAAAAAAAAATTACCTTATTTATTATATTATTTTTCTTTTCTTCCTCTTTAATCTTTCGTGGTTTGTCAAATGGACAAGTACCTGGTTCACCGTCAAAATTTAAGGTCGGCCAAACTGGTAATTCGAGGAAGACAGGCCTCGTGTCTCTATTAATCAATTAATACCAATATATAATTAAACTTGTCAACAATTGGGGTATAAATAATATTTATAAATAAATTAAAGTTACCTTTTAGAGGATTCAAATTTAATATAAGGTTTTTTAAGTTCCTTAACTTTAAGATCCTTCTCAGATTTTATACGATTAAGATTTTTAAGTGTATTTATGTTACTTAAAGTGGCATATACTTTATCTAGATAACCTTGTAACCTGTCGGTAGTCCAGATAGGTATACCCCAATTGAAGGCGGTATCGAGCGGATCTACTGAACACTGTTGTGGTTGTGTCAGAGCACGTTCCAACATTGCATCCACTCGCGATTTCTGTTTTAAAATGACAAATACAATTATTAAAAAAAAATTTTTTTTAAATCCCTACATAGACAATCAAACAAATAAAATAATTATTACAATTCTCTGGGTAGTGAGACCCCGTGTATTAGTTGAATTAGACAATGGACATTCACCGTTGTAGGACGGTGTTGGAGGCGTCCAAGTTGACGAAGGGACCTCTACACTCTTCAGCGAGGGAGGTCCCGCGCTCCCACCGCTGGTGTAGCCACATTTTTTTTTATCCGAACTTGCTGTGGCTGCTACTACTGCTGACTGTTGTTGAAATTTGTCCGCTCGATCGCTGACAACCACCGTCACCCTCGCGTCTAAAAATAATTCAACTCTCTGAAAAATAAATAAAACTATTAATCAATTATCATAAACACTGCAATTATCAACACCTTTAAAGTAACACACGTGTACAAGCACTCATTTAAATAAATTAACTTTAATTAAAAATAATCAATTGATTAAATTTAAATGTCAACAACTGGCATCTGTTGAAAACGCCTTGTTCTTTTTATAATTCATTTATCATCGGTTATAATAAAAATTACTCAAATAATTAAAAACTGAAATATAAGTATGTGTATATATATATATATATATATATAGGGAAAAAAATAAAATAAAATAAATATGCAGAGCAAATAGACGCTAAAATGAGAACATAGCAATGATAAGTTAAATAATAAAAATAAAAAAACAAATAAGTAGAACATGAGAAATAATAATGTAATAGTTACGCGAGCATCGGACTTACGATATAAACTACTGGAGGAATTGGTAGCTCGGTGATGGTAGACTACTGTCAACTAATATATTATAATACACAATTCACTACACCAACATTTACGCAAAACATTCTCTCTCATTATTCTCAAAGTTATATACACATTTATTGTCTTGCGCAGCCGACGCCTTATAATAAAAAATAAACGGCATTAAACAACAATTTTAAGTATAAATATTACTTATTTAATAAATTGATTATCAATTAATTGATATCATCAGCATCACATGTTACTAATAAACTGTTATTATTAATATAAATAATTAATAAATGCAAGAGTACGTTCCCCCCTGTTGAACTGTCACGCACAAAATGGCCATTCGCCGTTAACAGCTTGCTCCTAGCACCTGGAGGCGGCGCTTTTACCTTTATTATTATTTTTATTTTATTTTATCTATTTATTACTCAATTATTTATTATTATAAATAGCCTTATTAACATATTTATTTAAGTTAACTTGTTTATGTAATTATAACAACAAAACTCTCCTGTCCGTCATCATCACCATTATCAATGGATTAATAGCTTGGTATTGTCATTCAGGTAGCTTGCACCAGATGGAGTGTTAAATCGCGGGTTAAAAATTGACAAACACAAGCTGATGCTTTACATGTGGTATCAATTACTCACATACTTGTTTACTTCTTTATATGTACACATATATTTATGATAAACTAATGTAAATTAGTATTCGTAAGGGTGTCAGTGTGTTAATACTTCATCATGTACTATCCTTTCGATATACATCTTGTCAACAAACTACACATTTGTACGACCAACTCAGACTAAAATATTTACCGTCACCAGCTTCTCCCGGAATATACCTGTTTATTTAATACACACACCGACTGATATCGTCGATTATTTATAAATAATTTTTAATTGATTTATTAAATCGAAACAAATGTTACTTTTTTCGTTCCACAGCTTGCAGAATATTTTTTTTTTTTTCAAGAAGCTAAAAATGGCGGGAACCAGCAAAAACATTTATTACTGTACTTATGCTTATAATTATGAATAATAATATTTATCTGAGTGAAAATAAATAAATAATTAAGTAAAATAACAAAACTTACACCTCCGAGATCTTTTATTCTGGCCTCAAGCCTGCTTGATAATGAATGATTTTTGATGTCAAGATAAAATTTATTCTTCCCCAATGGCTTATCACCTCGTTGCAAACGAACATCTGCAATTTTTTTTTTCAATATCAATTATAATAAATCAATTTATTAATTTAAAGTTAAAAATATTATTAATAATTATTATTAATATAAAAATAACAGAGTTATTAAAAACATACGTGAAGGCCGGGTTATTTTATTATCTTGCGCCAGGGATTTTTGTTTCTGATTGTGATTTTTAGAAGGCGATACCATTCCTATTAAATGAACCGCGTCGTAATATTATTTTTTGTCACTACAGCACTTTCCATTCTCACAACCAACGACCACATTTAATTTGACGTATTTTTTTTGCGCTTATTATTATTTCATTTTTAGTTTTTTACGTAAAACAAAATACTAAAATTTTTAACTAAAGTTACTTGTCATAGTGACAGTAAATTTATAAAAATAATTTTAAAAATAAACCACAAATATATCTAAATAAAATAGTGTAATTAATAACCTAATATTAATAGTTTTATTAGAATTTTATTTCTTTATTTCAAGATAAAAGTCTACCGACCAATGCTATGCTACGAATACAGTAAATGGCGTAAGGTAAGCACAAACACAAATTGTAGACGTTAAATATGGTGTCGACTCTCTCTTTTCATTTACTACAGTGAAGTAAATTTGGTATAGTCCAAGTAGTTGTTGCGTTGTTGGCAGTCCTGTTTCTAGAAAAATCAGACAGACACTTGCACGCTAGAGAAACGCGAGATATTTCTAGCCAGCTGTTTCCTGTTACTTTTTTCGTTGATTCCTCATCAAAATCATTTAGAAATTTTTATTGATAAATTAACGAGTGCATTGACTGTTAATAAACCGTATAAATAAATAAATTTTGACACAACATTGGGAAATTTATCGAAGGTAAGTTTGTCGAGTGATAATTTATCTAATTAATAGCGATTTAAAATAATTACAACGATAAATTCGAATAAAGGTTGTACGCCATATTGATATTGATTAAATTTGGTACAGAGTATGCCAGTGGCGTATTCTGCGTATTCGCGTGTGTTGGTGCTGATGGTTGATGCATTAATGTAGCAGTCCATGTAGCATGTAATGTAGCCAAGTTCAAGTCTCAGTTAGTCGAGTTTCTCCACCTTTGTCGTAATAAAGTCTCGTCCGTTACGTCCATCCACGGAGTGAGATTGTTAAATTATTCTTGGCTTGGTACATATATATATATATGTTTATTTGTACCTATCTGTCTACTTAAATACACTCACTTTATAAGCACTATCTGCACACCAACGTTTTTTTTAAATCCGTGTCATTTAAATAGTGTGTTGGTATTTGAGTGCAAGTTTGTGTTAACTATTTACTAGCTTTCTGTGTCTCGGTGAGTTTTCTTTATTTTTAATACTTCATTTATTTATTATTTTTTTATTTTATCGCTGACCGTATTGATTAATAACATTTGAGCGTATTTTTTAGCCAACCGCAATACAAGAGCTAGAGCTAAAAAGTGAAAACAGTTTTTACATACCCCACTGGGAAAATTTTATAAAAATTACAAATATACATATACAACATCTCATATTATGTATGTATATTTTATGAGGATCTATTAGCTGAAAAATTTCCAGAAATTTGTTGCCTCTGCGTCAATTTCCTAATCTCGAATATTCTATAATAGGATCACGGAGATTGCTATATTATATATAAAAAATATACATGCATATAAAGATTTATGTTGAGATAATTACATATCAACGCTCTTTGTTCAATGCTTTGTCATGCCATTTCTCTAGTTTTTTTTTTTTTTCTGCTAAATTATTCATTAAAAGGAATTTAAAAATTAACTCCGTTTTTAAAAATTAAAAGCTGGATAAATTATTTGGCAATGATACTTTAGCAAAGTAAAAATAAATAGTCATTTATGAACCTTGAGCTTCCAGTGAGCAATATATAGTCTTTTATAAATACAAATATGAATAAAAAAAAAAAAAAGTAGCATGACTGACTTCTTACCATCAAAAATTCTAATCAATCATTCAGTTGATTTGTTTTATTGTCTAGCAGTATTGACCGCTTTGTAAAATTTTGCTGTTAAGTACAAGGTTTTTTTTTATGTTATAGCTTGTAACAAAAAGTTATAATGATAAATGGTATCAGTTAACTCGTTACCATGGTGCCGTCGATTAACTTCGGGTTTATTCGATTACTCGAACACAGACAAACTCACCAATTACTCAAGAAAAATATACAAAAACGAATTAAATAGATAATAAATCGTCCTGAATATGATTAGCAATTAATCATTGATGTGTATGCAAGTATGAGTGATTAAATATTTAACAACGTCAAAGGATTAGTTTTAAAGCTATAGTAATGCAGTATTGTTAGCATTGATTGCTCTTTATTATTATTATTATTATTATTATTATTATTATTATTATTATTATTATTATTGTGATTGTACTGTTACTATTACTATTACTGATACTGTTACTATTATTATTGGTCATTGGTGCAAGTCCGCGTAGTATGTCGGTTCAAGGACAGTTTAATAAATAACTTACGATTATTTTGAAGCTAATTAAAACATTACCGAAGTTAAAATAATAAATAATACTCGAATTGTTTTTAATTATTTAATGAAATTTTTTCAGATGGCCAATCGCGTGTCGTGAATATTATTTTGGCTTATGTCCGACTGAGTGCTGACATTAAAATAAATTTAATACGGGATTTTGTAAATACAGTGACGTTGAATTTTCAGACGAGCTTAGATGCAATTATCTATTTTCTTTTTTTTTTTTTAATTTTAATTTCTGTAATACAAGTTATTTAATACACTTTGACATTATGTATTAATTACATATGATCTTATTACAAGCAACTGATACTAAGTACGGCAAAATTAAACAATGTCCATTGTCAAGAATTAAGTACATCGTATATCACTTATTATTATTATTATAAATTATAATGTATGGAAATAGTAAGGATAGGAGTAAATATCTCTAAATGCGTGGTTTAAAAATGTCACACTTGATTCGTGATTTCGCTTTCGTAAAAATAATTTTTCGTTAGCACCTACGCTCGATTACTTAACTATTTAAATTAATCAGCAGCTCGCTATTTTATTAACTCTATAATTTATTATTTATTTTTGTTTATTCAGAGACACTGTTTACGTCCGACGAATGCAGAATTACAAAACAAAAATTTATAGTCATAGTAAAAAAAAAGATAAAGATAACACCAAGAGCTTAAATTCGCTGACGAGAGCCTGTGTATGTATTATACTTTATGTATTATATGTAGAGATTCGAGTGTTTAGCAGCTAAATTGATGGAAGATGATTCGGATTAAGTGCTGAGCCGCGGATAAAACTTAAAACTTTTACTACAACTTATTGATGGATAGAACAACCATCAGCGGACTCATAACTAGTAAATAGTTATAGACATTGGTGTAGTGATTGTAACGATGGTCTGGTTGTTAAAAACGATATCCATCGATACGTTCGCTGGCCAAATATGTATGACTGACGTCACGCACCGACTCGACACCGTTGAGGACGCCCACCTCGCACACACATTGCTCGCTTGCGGCATTATATTAAAAAACCCCCTCGTTCTTTTTTCCACTTAACTTATCTCTCTTTTTCTCTTTTATAAACACACTTCAATAATACTAATACATCAGTTGAGTACTATACTAGTTTTTGTTTTTCATTCTTCATTTTTTTATAATTCCGGGACAATCAAGAGCTTGGCAAGTTTTTCCGCTTTTCCTTCCGCCAAACAAAGGCTCAAAACCAGTTCTTAAAATCAATTTACTTGTATTCCCTTTTCGATTCTTCAGAATGTGATAAATGACATTGATCTTACCACACTTGATTTGACAAATGCTCATTTGTCACTTCCATTTCCACCAAATCCATATAATTCATTTTATTTTTATTATATTATATTATTTATAAGCATTTAATGTATAAATACTTATACACTAGTTATAGATAGATCATCATCATGTTAGAGCTTCCTTCTTTGAATTTTCTCACATACGTTAAAATATATATTTATATTGTGTACATATATAATTTAAAGTTGGTCCGATTGTTGGAGACGCGCCCACAACGACCCACGTGTGAAATCGTCCGCGAATCTATGGTCATGCGATGATGACGAGGACGAGGACAACCAAGCCATCATTTAGGTCGATTATTAACAAAACTCAATTAATCTTATCACTGAAAAATAATTATTAATTAATTTTTTTTTTTCTTTGCTAATTATCACTGCAAATAATAGCACGCTATCTTACAGTAAAAATTATAATAATTAATTTGAAGGTAATAGAAAATGTTTATTTTTTCTCTTGAGTCGTAGTTGAGCTACCGTGACCTCCACCTCCGCGTTTGTGTTATTCTAATGTTAACGCGTTTAAGTTTAGAAATTTCCTTGGCAGTATTTGATTCGATTGGATTTTTATTTATCATTTTTTACACTCACATCTTGTTGTTATTAACATCAACACTTGATATATTTAATTACTGTTGTAGCGGTATGATAAAAAGAGAAAGTTGGTATTGCAAAACATTGGGATTTACTAGTGTAGAGTTAGGCACCGATGACGAAGTGTTTATCATTGTATGTTTATATATATTTTAAAAGTCTAATTATCTATCAATTGTCGTAGATATCGTAATAACAATATCTATATATATATATATATATATATATATATCCACTCTGTTGGATATCGTTATATTTAATCGTTTATTATTTAATAGAGGTTAGTAGAGCAAGACCAAGAACAAGTTTGATGTTACTCTATATACTGGTTATAAAAAAACAGTGCCGTCAATTTGTCTGCCCAGCAATTCAATAAATTTTTTAAATAAATAATAACTACGTGCAAATACTTTAAATGTTTTATTAAATATATTTTTCTGCTTTAAATTACAGGTGGTCCTGTCGAAGAATTAAGTAATCGACCGAACAGACTGAGATCATGGTAGACTATTATAAAATTCTTGAGTTAACACAAACGGCTACGGCTGTTGAAATTAAAAAATCGTGAGTACTTATTTAAAACATAATTATTACGATACAGTAATGCAATAATTATGATAATAAATAAATAAATAAAAAACAGAGTATAATTGGAAGAGAGAGAGAGAGAGAGAGATTGAAAAAAAAAAAGAAGAAAGCTAATTAAAAATTTTAGTCAAGTATGTGTACTAACTAGTTGGTACACATACGACATTAGAGAGCAGTATAGTTGCCATGAGGCCATTCTTGTTAAGAATCTTTGCAGCGGCCAAGGTTGACATCTCGGCCAAGAGGTCTGTGACCCTGGTGCAGTTCGACTCACACTACACTCATGTCCTTTTATTACAATAATGATAGCTCATAGTTTTTTTTTGTATTTACATGCATACGTGTATATTATTTTATTTATTTATTTATCTCTTCCTGCAATTTTTATTTTATCTTTTTCCGTTTACTACTTGGATAGTCATTATTTTTACGAGGGTTTTCCTTTTTTAGATACCGCAAATTAGCTCTCAAATGGCATCCGGACAAGAATCCCGACAATCTTGACGAGTCGACGAAAAGGTTTAAAGAAATCTCGGAGGCGTACGAAGTATTGATTGACGGTGAGTCATCTTCTACAAACTGTATTAATTTTTTTTTTTTATTATTTATTTATAAGGACTAATTATTAGTCACTGAAAAATAATCTCGGTTTTTTTTTTTTAATAAGATTAGATAACGTCAGTGGCAAAGTTGAGTAGATTATAGTTTTACTTTCAAAGAAAATAACTTTCTTTTGTTCTTTAAATTATCTTAGTCTATTTTTTTTCCATCGATTATTTATTGTTTTTACATGATATTTAATAATAACAATTATTTTATTGTTGGTGGCTTTTGTTACAGAGAAAAAAAGAAAAATTTACGACCAATATGGAAAAGAAGGTCTGCAAATTCCTGGAAACAAACGTAGACACGAGGATGAGTACAATCCGGTCTTCAATGAATGGTTTGTCTTCAGAGATCCTGAAGATGTTTTCCGAGAATTTTTCCAAGGCTCTCCGTTCGACGATTTATTTGATAGTCAGTACTTAATGTCACTCACTCATAAATTCTATATTTATTTTTGTTTTATTTTTATTTAAATAAACATATTGTTTTATTTTTAGTGTTGAATGGCGGCAATGGACGTCGAGGAGGTCAAAGACACGGACATCCAAGACAAAACAGCTTACATTCACCTTTCGGTACTCTTGATCTCAGTCTTTCTTCGCCATTTGGATTTTTCGGCTCTGGAGCAGACTGCTTCTCTTCATTTAGCAGTTTCTCTAATGGAGCACCTATGGGAGGTTCTAATGTACGGAAGACAAGTACTTCTACGCGATTTGTTAATGGAAAAAAAATAACAACTCACAAGTAAGTTTACAATTTTATTTTATTTATTTAATTATAACTAGCAACCTTGCAGTCACTATGTGACTGCGGTGACTTGTGAACTATAAATAAATAAATAAAATTTTGCTTTATTAAATAATGACTTTTGTTAAATTGCACTGTATTTTCTTAACTATTGACGTTTTTAAATATATAAGCTCATCCTGATGTTACAGTCATCAAGAGCTTTCATTTGAGTACCCACATGCATTTTCATATATTTTTCATATATACATATATATAATATATATAAATATATAAAATATATGAAAAATTGATGTGGGTACTCAAATGAAAGGTCTTGATAAGTGTAACATCGGGATGAGCTTATATCTTTAAAAATGTCAATAGTTCACAAGATACAAGGCTATTTTTTAATTATTGATATTTTTAAAAATGTAAGCTCATCCCGATGCTACACTCATCAAGAGCTTTCATTTGAGTACCCATATGCATTTTCATATATTTTTCATATATACATATATGTAATATATATAAATATATAAAAAATTGATGTGGGTACTCAAATAAAAGGTCTCGATGAGTGTAACATCAGAATCAGCTTATATCTTTAAAAACATCAATAGTTAAGAACGTACAGTGCAATTTAACAAAAGTTCGCAAAATACAAGGCTATTTCTTAATTATTGATATTTTTAAAAATGTAAGCTCATTCCGATGCTACACTCATCAAGAGCTTTCATTTGAGTACCCACACGCATTTTGATATATAAAATACAAGGCTATTTCTTAATTATTGATATTTTTAAAAATGTAAGCTCATTCCGATGCTACACTCATCAAGAGCTTTCATTTGAGTACCCACATTAATTTTTCATTTATTTTTCATATATACATATATGTAATATATATAAATATATAAAATATATAAAAAATTGATGTGGGTACTCAAATAAAAGGTCTCGATGAGTGTAACATCAGAATCAGCTTATATCTTTAAAAACATCAATAGTTAAGAACGTACAGTGCAATTTAATAAAAGTTCGCAAAATACAAGGCTATTTCTTAATTACTGATATTTTTAAAAATGTAAGCTCATCCCGATGTTACACTCATCGAGACCTTTCATTTGAGTACCCACATTAATTTTTCATTTATTTATATATATATATCTACATGAAAAATATATCAAAATGCATGTGGGTACTCAAATGAAAGGTCTTGATGAATGTAACATCGGGATGAGCTTATATCTTTAAAAATGTCAATAGTTCACAAAATACAGGGTAATTTCTTAAGTGTCTAGAGATAGATTATTTTCGAATGCAGCCTAAATACTTATCATATTAAATTAACTATCGTTGAGAATGATATGAAATCTTGAAGCTACAAAATTTTGCTTATTCTCTTAATAATATAGATTATTAAAATTATCAAATTTATTAATATTTTTTCTTCAAATTTTCAACAGGGTCGTCGAAGGTGGAAAGGAGACCATAACTTTTTATGAAAACGACGTTGTCAAGTCTAGAACCGTCAATGGTGTTCCTCAATCAATCACGTACAGTTAAATTCATTATTTTTTTTTTTAACTCATGCTTATTATTACTACTTTATATTTATTTAAATACAAAAATCAATCATCCATTCATTTACACTTGGTTTGAATAATTTCATATTAAGAATTTTTTAACTTAAAAATTTACCGGTACTTCGCTTAATAATAATAATAATAACAATTACAAAGACGCTGGTCGATGCATCCCGTGAGTTGATTATTAATTGAATGATAATATCTAACAATTAACCTAAGTCCAAAAAATTAAATGTAATTTACCAAATTATATTAATTTATTTTTATTATCTATTTATTATTACTAGTGATTTTTTATTGACAAATCAGCTAATGCTCAGTAAATTAAAAAAAAATTAATTGTTAATACTTATATCTATCCTACGGAATAACTTCAATTATAAACTATTATAAATTATAAATTATAAATTATAATGAATAATAAGTTAAACGTGTGATACATATCTTGTTTGTCAGGTTGAATGAAGCATCGACGAGTCGTCAAGTGAATGACAAAACCGTCGACACATCATCAACGGGAAACAATACTGCCGTTCGCGGTAGTTCCAGTGCGAAAATACCGCATACCGACAACTTAAATAGGATAAAAAATCATTATCATCATCCACACACAAGTATCAAGCACGAAAAGAGTAAACGAAAGTGATAGTAGACATTCAATACAGACAAAAATTTTTAAAAACAAACAAAAAAAAAATTTAAGTAATTAGGCTATGACCAGTCGACTAATTAAAATTACGTTTTTTTTTTTCCATTAATCAATTAAGTAGTTATATTAAAAATCATCTCTTACCCTTTTTCTTTCATTACCAGCGGCTCTTTATTTTGTTACATCATTTCATACAATTAAATAGACATTTGTAGCTTTTAAATTACTCTACACTTTATAGCGTTACTGTGACTGCATTAAATAAAAATAATAAATAAAATAAATTATCCCGTGTATTATGATAAAATGCGATTATTGTAAACTGCTGAGCCGACTTATTATTTATAATTTTATTTAGCTATTTTATTTATTCATTTCGGTAGTAGTAATAATAATAATTATTGATTATTATTATTATTATTATAATTGTAACAATTATTATATAAAAATATTAATTCGCGTATAAAATGATTCGGTGGATATTTTTAGTGTATTAAAAGTATGTCTACGTTTAGTTTGTTAAAGCTATTGTTGTTAATGATAAATTTTCAAAGAGACAATTATTTTTAACAGACACTCAATAACGAGGATAGTGTGAAAATGCATAAGTTGATAAAAACCGGATCTATTTATTTTTAAGACACTATATATTTGCTACGCTATTTTGAATAGGTATCTGTATTCGCATAGATAGAAATTAAATACTAAGTTTAATATTATCACAATTATAATTATAGTTATTATTACAATAAATTAATTGATTAATATTATTGAAAATAAATGAGTGGAAAATAATAATTCAGTTGATGATAAATGCTGTCAGGAAATATAGTCTGATATTAATTTTTATCGATTGATTTTCAAATTATTCATCATCATTTCATCACACTGTAGTCAAATTCACTTTTTAATTATAATTATTATTATTATTAATTATCTATGTGTATATAAAGATAAGAAGATTTAATTTTAAGATAAAAAAAAATACACTCTTCATGATCTAATAATGGTTGATTTATTTATACATCATCAATTCCTTTAAAAAAGCTAGTACCTGGCGAAACTGTAAAGTTGTTACAAAAATAACGAAGCTAATAATTGTAGAAAAACAATTGCTATATGTGATATATTTAAATTTTAAAGTAATTGCACAGTAGATAAAGTGTAAAAATGTATAAGTAGTTTTTATGCTATAAGTAACAGCACTTAAATATTTATAGTTTTATATTTGCGCGTTTTCTTGTGATTCTATTTGAAATCTAATTTGTTAGTTGTGATTGTTGTGTTTAATTATAATGATAATTGATAACATTATAATTAAACCATTAAAATCACTTTTTTCCAATAGACTCTATTAATTGAGCTACTTTTTTTATGTAATCTTTCTGGGCATCCTCTTTGGACGTTCCTTTTTTTGCGTTCCACGCATCCCATTTCGCTTTGTCTTTCAGATTAAAATAACCTGGTTTATCTACAATTAAAAAATTTTATAATTAATAAAATGCAAAATACACAATTGTTTAAGTTTAACAAAATATATTTTTTATGACAATATATATCACCAATATTGCAATTTCCAATCGTAGCTTGTTTAAATAAACCGTAAAGTATCAACTTGTCTTCATTTGATGGTTCTGATGCTAATTCTTTTACTTCTTGAGCAGCTTTTTCAAATTCCTAAAATTATTTTCAAAATAAGAACAAGTTGAAATTTATTTTAAAAATTTTTTTCCTTTGCGATCAATGATACAATAATTTGATTAAAAAAAAATAAAAAAAAAAAAAAAAGTTCGTAATAATTATAATTAGGGTGAAAATTAATTTAGCAGATATTTTATAATTTTAAGAATTTTTTTAACAAATAAATTATGGCAAAAAAAAATATAAAAAAAATTGACATGTAGAAATTTAAAAAAATTAAAAGTGCAATTTTTTAAAAATAATTTTTTGGAACAAATTTTTTTGTTAAAAACAATAAAAAAATTCTCTGGTGACTGTTAACTTTAATGTTATTAATTAAGAACATTGAAGTTAGCAGTCGCTTGAACATTTTTTAATTTTTTTAAATAAATAAATTTGCTCCGAAAAATTATTTCTAAAAAATTGCATTTTTTATTTTCTAAATGTCAATTTTTTTTGCTCATTTTCTTTGACATAATTTATTTGTTAAAAAAATTCTAAAAACTATTAAATATCTGCTAAATTTATCATCAATAATTAGGATCAGTTTTTCAATTCGCCAAAAAATTATTTTTAAAAAATTGCACTTTTAATTTTTTTAAATTTCTACATGTCAATTTTTTTTATATTTTTTTTTGCCATAATTTATTTGTTAAAAAAATTCTAAAAACTATTAAATATCTGCTAAATTTATCATCAATAATTAGGATCAGTTTTTCAATTCGAGATAAAATTTTATCAAGTAACATGTACTGACAATAGTAATTTTATCCTGAATTTTTATTCAACAAATTATACATTGTCATAATTATTTTTTATTTTTGTCCTTAAATTGAGTTAAAAAAATATTTTATTTGAAATTTCGTACTTGAAGGACATATCAGCTGAAAAATCAACTAAAAAGAAATAAACATTGAATATATGAAACCAAACACAAACAATAAATTTAATAAATTATTAAAAATAATCAATGAAACACAACAAAAATTAATTAATTATTAAACAAAAATTAAAAAATAAATATTAATCGATAAACATTGACAAAACAAAACATAATTCACGTGTTATAACCTTGAAGTGATTTACATAATTCAGCAAGTATTGACATCCTTAATAAATTATTTAGGATACTTTTTTTATTTATTGTAATTAAAAATTATCGCTAAAATTAAACTTTATAATTTAAGAGAACATAACAAATTAATTATGAAAATGCTTACCTCTTGAACTGACATGTTGGTTGTATTTATTACGCTGATATCGGAGTAATTAATTCGATAACCTTAGGCGATCGTAATAATTATTAGATTTATCAAGATTCAAAAAATGATTGTAATATAGATAATAGGTGTAACGGCAGTTTTTCCCGAGCTAAAACGTGGCAGATAAGATAAAAAAGTTCTAGTATAAAGTATATGATAGTATATACTGAGATATAAATATACACGTTTGTACTTACTAGTTGCCAAAGAGTATCCGTATCCTATACTCGTCGCTAGTTGCATAGATAAAGGGGTAGAGGTAAATAAAATATGTGCAAAGTGACTCCAGTCGTATCGTTATAAGAAAAGGAAAGACCCGGATAGTCTTCTCTCACACCGGAGAACAATTTTAAGCGCGCGAAAATTTAAATAAATTTTAATATTGCTCATGTCAAAGTTAAAATTATAAAAAAAGACTGCAATTAAATGTTTACATTTATTTAATATAAAAAGTAATTTTTTTAAGACGGAAAATTATTAAAACAATTATGACACTGAAATTAGCAGACATTTAACAATTTTTTTATTTTTATTTAAAAATTAACTATTATTTTATTAAATTTTTTAAATAAATTTTTCTTACTAAGTATAAATTATTTATTAAAAAAAAATTATAAAAATGTCTCGCAATAAAATCCGTATTATTCAGTATATTCAGTATATTTATTGTTTTTAAGATAATAACAATGTATCTCATTTACAATTTGCGATTTGAGAGGCACAGTTACATATTTATTTGCACCAATTTATTTATTTTTGGGAAGAGTTTAATGTGACAGAGAAAAGAGCTGTATGTGGGGGAGAAAGGGAGGATTAGAAGCAGGTGTTGGATCTTCTGGTAGAAACTGCAGCGATGAATCGAGCCAGGTTTTCCCATTTCTTTTTTGGAGTGGATATTCAGGGTGTGCAACGTGCGTGTGTTTATTGGATAGGTTACGGCGATATTGTGAAGGTATTTGTTTCTCTTGGATATTGTTATTATCTTAAAAACAATAAATATACTGAATAAAATCCGTATTATAAAATTTATATAGATATATTTAATTTTTTAGAATATGGTGTTTTTTTGTTTAACAATTTTCACGTCAAAATTAAGAAATTAAAATATTAAAGAAGACATTTTAATTTAAATAAACAATGATACTAAAATCAGCAGACATTAAAATTTTTTTTTTATTAATTCAAATAAAACTAAAAAAATTTCGGAAATTTTATCAATGCTTACAACAATGAACAATTAATTATTAGTTTGTTGAAAAAAAATTTAATTAGTGAAAATAAAGTGCGAGGAAGTTTATAAAATAAAATTACAGACAATTATTTTTTACAAGATTTAAATTTATTAACGATCTTAGACAGCGTTTAATTTAATATAAATCATGCAATGTGATTTTAAAAGTATCCATTACCAATAATAAGTGAAACTGTGAATATTTTAGAAACATGAAAGATAACATTCTTTAAAATGAGTGTAATTTTTATGTAATAAATATTTCTTCAAACATAACACAATGTATTTTTCTTATCGGTACAGCATACACATAATAATTTTTAATTAATATTTATAAATTTTTTAAACTTTTTATTATTCATTGTTTATTAATAATATATATATATATATATATATATATATATATATATATAAATCATCTTCATATTAATTAATTGCAAATAATTAAAGTAATATCATCGTGATATAATAACTATTTCAATCATATATCTCGTAATCAGATCTTTGTAGTTAAAAAAAAAAAAAAGATTCAAATTACATTACATTTGTCATTAACAATAAATTCATATCATTTTTCAATGACTCTATAATATTGCCACATTGTATCCTGCACACACTTTTCACAATGGTACTCGCTACTATGAACTAACATTAATTATTTTTATTAATTATTGAGATAATCGACTATTAACATATTTAACATCAGCTAAATAACTGACGTACGAGAATCTTGTAACGAAATTGCCCATTAATTATTTATTTAATTTTTTATGTATATTTATATAAACATATATATCTATATAAATCGCTCTTAGTAATTGTTACAAGTAACCTTACTAGTATTGCTTATATTTATCAAACCAAAAAAGTAGAATTTAATTCTACTAAGTGGCTAAATTATCTATTTAATATTATGTTTACAATTATTTTTCGATGTACATATTTTTATTTTATTTTTATTTTTATTTTATTTTTTTTTTTTATTTTTTTTTTTATTTTTCAATGACCTTATATATTTATTATTAAGTAAAAATTATCAAAGACACTGTTCAGATCTGCATTTTTTTAATTTAATCAAAAACGAGCGTTTACTAAAAATTAATATCAAAATTCATTTTTAATTTAATTTTCAACAAGACAAGACAATAAATGAATACCAAAAATAATTTTATAGTCTGCAGATCAATTGTTCGTTAACGGTTCTTAAATTTTACTTACATGAAAAAATAATAATAATATAATAAACAGTTTTAATCAATAACTTAAATAAATCAAATGTTGTTATATACACGCAACACGAGCTACAATTTAAACGCCTAAAAATTTTATTTATTATTTATTTAATTCGTCGTAATGGGCACATGATTTTTCTTTGTTATCGTATAACATTATGTAACATATTAATAAAATTCTTATTCATAATAATATATATGGCAGATCTAAAAATAAACGAAAATGTTATTTAATCTTTTAATTCTTGTTTTTTTTTTTGTTTTTTTCTTTTTTTCATTTCTATATATATTTATTTATATCTATATAAAGAATTAATGACACTAATCATTAATTAAGTAAATATCTTTCTCTCGATCAATCTTTCTTCACACACTCATTCATTAAAAATACATTATTATTAGATTTACAATTAATAATTCTCGTATTGCAATAAATTATAACAACAGATTGATTTTTTGCTCGCATTAATAAGCGATTTAATTTAAATCGTGATGAAACTGTATTAAATACTAATAACAGATCTTTTTCTTATATTTTTTGTTTATTTTATTCTATTTTTATTTATTTTAAAATAATATAAATTAATGAATTTCGTAAAAATTTTTACTACGCATATTAATATTTTTATTTACCATTTATTATTAATTAATTTTAATAAATCGAATAAAATAAACATTAAAATATAATTATAATAACAAAATTATTGAAAGAAAACTCGAGATTAAGAAAATAAATTTCTTTTGAGTTTTGAAACAATATTGCACTTTTTACCTCAGCCGTATTGCTGATCTATCTTCAAGATTGACAGATTTTTTTTTTATAATTAATTACATTCATAATAATATGAATAATAATAATAATAATAATAATAATAATAATAATAATAATAAGAGTAATATTAATGAATTAATAAAAATAGCACTGGCTAATTTCAATGCATCCCTTAATCGTTTTTAAGAAGATATCTATCGCGGTTGGTAATATATTGATTTAATTAATTAATTAATTAATAAATTTATATATAATATGTAATATATAATATAAAATTAAATTAACGTGTAAATATATAAAGAAAAAAAATAAAATATAAAGTTATTATCGTAGTCGCCAAGTCCCAGTTGAAGTGTAGCTTATCCACAAGGGTTGATCGGTACGAGATTACGTCGGATGATTAAAACTTCATATCTTGTATTGATGCGGTTGTTAATTTTAGTTTATAATAAATAATCAAATCAGCTTGCTGCCATGTCATTAAATAATAATAATAATAATAATTAATACATAAGTACGTCCAAGTACGTCTCTCTATTAATAGGATTTTATATATAATTAATTATTAATAATTAATAATTGATAATTGAAACCGAGGTGACATTAGTGCGTTGAATTTAATAAATAGGCTGATCTAGATCAGAGTGAAAAGTAATAATTTTCTTTATATTATTTTAGGAGACAGGATGGATAAGCTTGACGAAGAGGGCTGGTGACGCGTGGACGGCGAATACTCTCAGCTGGGTGGCGAACCTTTACGCGGATGCTGTGTCCAGAGTCCAGGTGTTAGCACGGGGCGAGTGGATTCCATTGTTAGCACTCCAAGCCTACAGGCCATCGACAACCAGGGTTAACAAAGAAGAAAAAAAAAAAGAAAAAAAAACAGTATTGTTAGTAAATTATGATTTGATTGAAACTATAAAATTAATATTAATATTATTAAATTATTAATTAATTAATAAAGTATTAATATTTTATTTAATATATCACTTTGTCTAATAGCTTGACAGCTTAAGAAAGAATCGTTAATGAGAAGCAATGATTTATAAACATAAATGCTTATGAACAAGATTTTTTTTTTTTAGATTATTTTATAAATTTGTACCATTTAAATAAAAATGCATTGCTTTACACTATTTTATTATTAGTTATAGTGTGAAGCAATTAAATTGTGAAGAATGAAGATTATTAACTTTACAATAAAAATTTAAAAATAAAATAGAATTTATCATCAACACCTGCGTTTGTTACTTTTTTAGCAGGATTCATTAAACACTTAATTAAAAAATTAAATTATGGCTCGTGTACCCTCCCCGCGCATAGGACAGGCAAAGAGACTAAAGATTCTAGGCTTAGTTAAAAAAAAAAAATATTAGTTTTTAATTAAAAATATATATTATTATTATTATATTAAAATAAAATAAAATTATTATTATTATTTATATATTTATATTATTAATGATATTGAGAAAAATATTAAAGTAGTCATTCGTGATTAGATTTTAAAGAATTTATGGGCATGTACCGCATAAATGGATGCATCTCGCGAGATCTTCGATAGTTTGTTCTTTATTATTTATTATAAATACATATATATGAATAATTGTTTAATGATTTTAATTGAAATATTGTTATTCATCAAGATAGTTTTAATAATTAATTAATAATCAGGTTAACCACCGAATAATCCACCGATTTTAGTTAGAGGCAGCTTGGGTGTGCACCTGCCACGATAGCAGAGCTAAGTTTTAAGACAATTTTTTTTTAATTAGACAATGTAAATTAAATAAGAAAAAAGGTATCCTATAGCACGTAATTATTAATTTATATTTTATTTAAATATTAATTTATTAATTCAATATTATGAATACCAGCAAGCACGTGCCGTATAGGACAGATTTATTATTTTAATTATAATACAAGATCCAGGCATTTAAGAAGCGTAATTTATATTATGTTAAAATCCAATGTTTTATTTATTATTATTATTATTATTTGGTAAATTTTTTTTTTTATTAAAGTAACATTGGATTTTAATTTTAAAAGTTAGTGTCAACTTGGCCATGTGGAGCATTTTTTGTTAGTTTAAATTTATTAATTTATTATTTATATTATATATTAAGATTAATATTTTTTAAAAATAGATGGTGCTTTGTGCAGTTAACTAATTTATTGTTGATTAATTTGTGATAATGAATGATTATCTTAAGTTTGTTTACAAAGGATGTAAATGAATAATTATTTGTTAGTATTAGACGTTAATTAGGATGGGACGCCAGCTTTTTAACAACAGCATCAAACGCCTAGAAGATTTTTTTTTAACTTATCAATTAATCATTAGTATTTTATTTTTACTTTTACTGATAAATAAAAATAACTTTTTTAACAATTATTTATTATTGATTTAGAGTAAATTGTTAATAAAAAAGTTATTTTTTAATCAGTTAAATGTAATTTTTATAATTTTGAATGTTAGAGATTAAATAAATAAATATTGGTAATACATACATGATTAATTGATAATAATAAATAAAATACTTGGTAAAGTAAATTAAAAATAATACATTTGCGTCACACCGCGTAACCATCCCTCTCAAATTTGTGTTTGACAAATTATTTGTTCTCTAATTACTCGAAAAAAATTATTCATTAAGTATTTTTATTTCATATAAATATTTATTCAAATATAATAATCATATAATTATAATAATAATAATAATAATAAAATAATAATCAATAATGGTAAAATATTATTTAATTATTTATATTATGTAGATAAATTTATATATATTTATATTTATTTCTACATTTGTAGTTATATAATATATATAAAATTATATACAAATTATAATAATAATAATGGAAGGGCAATAAGTGTTCCACAGGCACAAGTTGCCAAATAATAAAATAATAAAAATGATAACAAAAAATGCAAAATAATCGTCATGATCTGGACAAATTTATTTTTAAATCTTAAACATAAAAGCACCAAAAATTATTATGCCTTTTTTTTCGTACTCACTGCCCAAAATTTCGTTTGTATTTATGAGAATAATTTAAATAAAAAAAAAAATAATTGCTTTTGTTCATAAGGGCAGTGTTTGATTATTAAGTGGGGGAGGTGCGCACCCACACGCAAAATAATCCTCATATATTTTTTTTAATCATTTATATGAATATAAATCTATTATATCAACAATATCTTATTCTGCGTAATTACAAAATATTTTTTTTTAAACGTACGGTGGCGTAAACAAAAGCTAATAATCGAATGACCTCTTCTCATACATCCTAATTAATTATTTTAATTTAAATAATAATAATTGTGAATTATTTATTGATAAAAATAATGCTTAGACCTAGGAGCGGGGAGTTGCGCCAAAGTACGAGAGATATTTAAAAAAAAATCCTGTATTATCTGTTCTCTATTTTTTTTTTTTTGCTTTCCCAATGTATGACAATTTATCGAGTCTCCTCAAACTCATTAAAATTAATATTTTTATTTTACCGAGGAGACTCAACGGGTTTGAGATATCGCGAGCAATAAAACAAATTATTTTACTTTAAGTGTAATACTGCTGGCTAGCGACTCCCGGACGTAATCAACCATAGAGGAAGCTGTCCAAAATTTACTATTATTTATTTTTAACAATAAATAATAATAATAAAATTTTATTTTTAAAAACGGACAGTGACAGGTACACAAACGTAGTCCAAACTCTAAATTTAATTACGGAAGAAAAAATAATTAAAGTATTTCTCACGGATTTTAATTATATTTACTTAAAACGTGTGAAATTTTGTAGCCAAAAAAAGAAAAAAAAAAAATATCTATTTAAAAAATAAATGTTGAAAGTAAATAATTAAGTGTGAGAATATGATTAAGTGACTAATTTAAGTTTTAAGTATTTTAAAAAATAAAAGACTATTGTATCAGTGCGAGTGAGGACTATCTCATACATTGGTTAAGCGAGTATGACAAAAATATAAATGTTTATATGTAAATATATAATATAATATATTATTATTTTAAATATATAATATATAATATAAATATCTATTGTATAAACATAGTAACATTATTATATTTTATATTATTATGCAGATAAGAACTAACCTTTCCCGCGGTAGGCGCGACTCTGTGCTCAGTATTCACGAGAGAGCGCCTGCCCTTTGATAAGGGTGCTCGCGAATTTGACCAAGGTGCCTACGCTGCTTTGCAGCGGCTGCTGCACCTGTTCCCAACATACAACATCGTCAGTAATTTTATACGCATTACATATGGCCTTTTAGTTATTATTTTCCATTGCTGAAAGGTAGAGCCGCAATCATGCACTGGATAAACTAAATTCTCAATTTATTATTCTATATTTAATAATGATAATATTAATAATAACAATCATTACTATTATTATCATTAAAATTGTTTTCTTTGTGAATAAAAATTTAGTTATTCATTAGCTTGTGGATTGTCGCAAAATGCAAGATGATTATTTATCTAATTAAATTGGTTTAATAATCTTGCACTTTACTGATTGCTAGAATACTATCACTCAAAATCTTAAAGCGTTTTTAATTAACACATTAGTCTTTTTATTTTTTAATTTATATGAAAAATTCATCTGTAATTTATTTCTTTAAGTATTGAGTGATAGAAGAAATTAAAAACAATTTATTAAGTCAACAAAATAATTAAAAAATGTATTATAAATATAAAAACCTATGTAAGTATTTAATTGTGATGTTTTTATAAAAAAAGAAAAAAAAAAGTATCTGCTGCATATTGCGGTCTCACTTATATTTATATAAAATATGGCTAAAAAATGATACGTCTGAAGTGTCTCCTATATATTTTGATTCTCAAATAAAATCAGGTAATTCATAGTACGCAAACTTAATTTATATAAAATATATATATAATATATGTATAACCAGCCATTTACACTCATACGTAACAATAAGTAGTAAAATAAATTTTCTATTCCTGCGCTACAACTTCAGTAATATGTACGTACTACTTATTTAAACATTTATTACTGACGTTAATTTCATTTATAAAAAATAAAATTAAAATTAAATATATATAAATATCTTAAATAATAACGGTATATTATACATATAGATATTTTCTTCTTTTCACCAAAGACTAATCATTAAAAAAGAATCTGGTTTAATGAGTATCATCAATTTGTTCTTTGCCGTATAATTTTTCTAATTACTAACACTTCTAATAAAGTCTTCGGATTGTAAACACGCGATAAGATCTTCTTCAATGTCTAGTCTTTGAAAGACTTAATATCAATATTTATTAATATTAAATAAACACCTACAATATATGCTAGAACCATCAGTCGTAACATTAACGCGTTTTTAGTTTTCTGTTTGGTCCCTGGGTATTCTTTATTTTTTTTTTTTTTTTTTTCACCTACACCTATTCACCTAAAACCCTACGTACAGCCTACCTATCACCGACCGATTTTTTAATTTATTTATTACAGTATTTAAAGACTCGGTCTACTCGTTTCGATAATGTTAGACGTAAGAATAAAATAATCTGTTAAATTTTAACGCAATTAAGAAAACCCACTCGCTGCACATGAATCCAATGATTAAAAATAAAATTTAATTCTACTAGTAATGATTTTTTAATTAAAAAGTTTTTATATATTTTGATAAAATTAATATTAATAAAAAATTTTTCAAGTCCAGTGTGAATTTTAATATTTTAATTTCTATAATTTTTATTAATTAAAAATGTACAGCGACTGAATCTTCTCAATTTTATTAATATTAAAATTTATTTAGTTAATTTGGTGGCACTTTTGTTGATTAGAGTGAATAGTAACGTGGGTAAAATAGTAGTTTTGGTAATAAATACAATAATAAATTTAAGTTATTAGGATTATTATTCAAAAAAAAGGTGTAAGCAAAAACGCGGGGTCAGCGGACCAATAAAGTTAGTCTTCGTTGTTGTTGTTGTTATTATTATTATTATTATTATTATAAAGTAACGTTATTAATTATTATTATTTAGTTCATGTTAGACCAAACCCGGGGAATTATTCTCACTCGAGATTCTAGTTACGTTGTAGTGTTAATTCGACGCGTCTATAAAAATAACAATAATAATTAAATTAATAAATAAAAACTTTTGAAAAATTGCTCTAAAAAGACATAAATAGTTTATAACCATCACCGATAATTATTAAATAGTAAAAAGAAATAATTTAAATTAAAGCGCGATTGAAGTCGAAAGGCAGGATTGATTTAACGCTAATATAATTAGTAACGGAAACGCGTATAATAAAAATTTATAATACTAATATACTTCTAATAAATATAAATATCTCTTCAATATACTTTAATTTAAAAATCTCATTTAATTATACTTGTTATATTATTATTATTAAAATTACCTAGAGCTAATTAATATCTGTCTATTACAAATAACAAAAATGTAAATAAAAATAAAAAATAAAAATAATAAACAATGAATGGCCTTTGATTATTGCATTGAGTAATGCACGAGAATGTGCCACATGACTGGATGCCCCGCTTGTGGATATGTGCGAGGATCCGTTAGAGAGAGTATATTTTCGTTTGGTATGTTAAAACAACGTACTTACAGTTACGATGTAAGTATGCGGACGCGTATAGTGCTTCTGTGTAGAGATTGCTAACGGGCTAACGGAATACTTTATACTATTATATCTTACTACACTTATGCTTTTGTGTATTATGTATGTATGTGTACAATAAACATATTATATGTATGTAGGTGTGTGTGTGTGTGTGTGTGTGTGTGTGTGTCAGGGTGTGTAACATGCCCTACGCCGGAAGAGCAAATATAACTATATAAATTCATCTATATATTCACAACTATTAACTACTTTTAATTCAATTTATGTTATACCGTATATACTTAAAAATTTTCTTTATTCTTAAAATAATTCTGGCTCTATTCATTTTGTTTCTTCCTATCATAATCAGTAATAGTCTAATAATAAAATAAAATAAAATAAAATAAAATAAAATAAAAATTGTACGATTGCCTAAAGTATTCTGCTGCCCTAGTACTTACATGGCAATTTAATAAACAAAACAGAATAAAATAAAATAAAAATAAAAAATAAAAAATAATAAAAAACGCTTTGCTCTTTTTTCGACTAGTATTATCTACATCCTCGCAACAACATTCACGAACACCTGGGTGATGTGTGTACCGAGTGCAATAAAATTTTATTTAATATTTGATATTTAATATCCTTGCCAGTTATCGAAATAGTAAAATTAATTAATTAAAAATTAATAAAAAAAATCTAGCGTCTTACTATATTATACGTATCGTCAAAAAATTGACGCTCAAGAGTGAGAAAGAGAGCGAGGGTGTATTAAATCTCTAAAACAATTACGACGCGACTAGTAAATGACTGATCCAGCTATTTTTGTTCAATCCTACGTACTACGCCTACGTCCTAACGTTAAGACACAATTAAATGTAATAATATCATTTAAAATTGTTTCGTTATTATTTATTCTTTCTTCTTTATCAATTACTTATCTCTATATGGCCCACTCGTCATAAAATCATCATCATCATTATCATGATAAACATTTCAACTATCGTATTAATAATAATAATATTAATAATAAAAATAAAGTATTAAGATCTGTTGTTGTTAATCAACAGCAAAATAAAATTAAATTTAAAAGTGAGACGAGGCCGATGGTGGATTTGCTGAGAATGATTGTCTGAGAAAAGCTGGATAAAGAGAAAGAAAAAATAATAAATAATAAAAAATGAATATATAATTATAAAATAGTGCAGATAATATGTGTTTTTTTTTTTCTGTTTAAAATGATAACCGAGCTCGTGGCCTAGCGTCAGCGAGCGAACAACCCACCAGAATGGTCAGCGTACTCGGTGAGAAGAGGTGATGCTGCCAATGCCGCGTAGTTGGCGTAATCAGCGTAAGGTGTGTAAATTAGACCATGTGGATCACCGGCAGATAATATTGATCCTGGCGGGCCGGAACCATTTAACAGTGATGCTGCTGTTGTTGGGACGGATATTCTCGGTGATAATATTAACGGAGCACCTAGTGGTGCGTTTGGCGATCTCATTTGGGATCCTAAACCAGGAAGAAGACGCTGAGTTTCAGCAGCTGCTGCTGCAACACGTCTCCACTCTTCGTCGCACGCTGCAATGTCAAATGCTGAAATTTTAATTATTAAAATTTGTTCTCTGTATTTTTCACACAACTGGACATGATTTTTTTTTTTTTATTCCAAATGATTTTTCTTTCAAATCAATAAACATCAAACGTCTTTCAAGTACACTGGGCATTAGTGTTTTATTTCTTATTAAAACAACAATCAATCTAAAATTAATATTAATATTTAATATTATTAACAATTAAAATTATACACATGTATTAAAAAAATTTTTATAAATTATACGCTTTCAATAATTATATTGATTAAAATTGATTGATTTATAGACATAAATATTTTCGATAAAATAAATTTGAACTTTCGCCAAGTGAGTGACTTTAAAATAATGTGACTTAAAAGTTCAAAAGATAATTAAATGGTTTATGAGCTTGTTTGGGTTCACGTTTCAATAAAGCTCAACACAGAATCCGTCAAGAGTCTAAAAGTCTAATGTATAATATATATAAGATTAAATTTGATTTAGAGGATAGACTTGGCAACGTAATATAAATGCACCACCGGATTGCGTGTACAAGTCAGTCCAGTAAAGCACGGCAAACTATTGCTAAAAGTACTTTGCATCGAACTCACCGCTACTAGGCTTGTAGAGGGCAATTTAATGAAATAGAACTTAACTTTGTATAGCTGTAGCAAAATCTGATTTCGAGTTTCGCGACCGCTTTGGCACTCTTACAATTCACCATGTTGCTGTTAATGAATCCTATTTTATTTTCATTTATATTTATCTCAATCTCTGTATTATCATCCATTATAAAACCAGATAATTAAAATATTGGCACCATTGAGAGAAATAACAATTAATTTACATCTCTATATAGATATAATTTATAAGAAAGTGATAATAATTATAATAATAAAAGCAAGCAAGACAATTCATTGAACTTTAAAATGATTAAGCGATATAATATTGGATGTGGTAACTGGTATAGTAACGAGAATGCACTACCGGTGATCGAGAGAATCCCTATTGTATTGTTTTCCCGGTGTAAAGATGCGCGGTCTAGCCTGTTTACTATACGTGTTATATCGATAAACACAGTGGCGAGTTATTTACCATTACATCGAGTATCAGTTTCCCATAGTGTCTAGTGTACAGTCTGTATCTTTAAACGTGTAGCTGGCTCGTTATCGTCCGTGTAATCACATTATTCGAACACGAGCTGGATAAAACACGAGCTAAGTAAATAGAGAAAGGCATGGCACTTAAGGATAATAATATCCTCTTGATATGACAATCGATTTGAATAAGAAAGAGAAAAATATATAGATAGGTGTGTATGTATCTGTGGATTTAAGTAGTGTCAAGCAAGCTCGTACGTTTCTCATTGATTTAATCTTATATACTTAGTTTTATATCGTGAGACACAGATAATAATAAATATATAAATATATAGATATATATGTGTGTACATTGTCTTTCATTCGGACAACAACTGCAATGTACTGCTCGCATATATATATATATATATATTATCGCATAGGTATGTATTTATATATAAAATAGTGGTAATGAATAACTGCGACTGATAAACATGTTATGTTGTTAGATGATGTTGCTGTTGTATTGTTGTTTATTAATGCCCAGTGACTTAAGAAAGACATCGATGCGACGCGTTGATGTACCTGCTGCTGCTGCTACTTTTGTGTTTGAGTCTCGGTAAGTCCCGTTTATTATTGCAAGCTCCATCAGTTGTCTCTTCTTTAACTCGTCTTCCCCTTCAGCCTGCTAACAATCGATATTTCCGTCAGTATCTTATTTACTAATTTATTTTAATTTTTTTTTTTTTTTTTTTTTTTTTTTTAGATATAATATTTACTCAGTCTTCTCACATTATGTTGCAATATTTATCTGTCAATTGAAAAAAAAATTCAAATTACAATTGTTACGGTTCAAGTACAGATCACACTTTGTTTTTTTTCTTTAAATACTCAAATAGATTAAAAATTTATTAAAAACTTTTTATTAGACAATTTATATCGTGCTCTAATTTAATTTATTATTCAATATAATTTATTTTAATTATAAAATATTAATAATATATTATCGCTATTATTATAGAAATAAGAACGTGACCTCGCGTTGACTTTAACAAAGAAAAATATCTGATAATTTAAGTATCACGACAGTAGACTGTATAAAATATAAATATAATTAAATATTTTTTGAGTAAAAGATTGAGCAAATATTATAAATGTATATAAATAATCAGAACTCTCTCACCACGGGCACTAGAAGCTTTTTAACTTCCTCAACAGCACGGGCAAGTTTAAGTGTCGCACGATTTTCAGTGTCCTCGACCGTCAGCAACACGTGCAGCTCATCTGTCAAGTGTTCCCAGTTTGGCTTGCCTCGATTTTGTTCCTCCTGTTTAATTAATTTAAAATTATTATTATTTTAATTTACTATTAGTTTTAGTCTATGATAAATACAACAGTGCGACTTATATAACTGGATAAATAAACAGTGGAGGAATACATTTATCTGAAACAATACCTAATTTATAATAAAGTACTATACTACTAACATAATTACAAAATCCAACGACTTTTAATGTAATCTGATAAGCCAGCAAGGTCGTGTAGTTAAATAAAATAAATATAACTTATAAATTAATCATGCATCGGCTAAGTTAAATATCAACATTAATAACACAATTATAATAGATAAAATAACGAAATTAACAGACTCAATTTTTTTTATATCAATTTAATTATTAAGAAAAAATTTTAATTAAAAAATTTCACATCTAAGATTATAAAAAATTGCAAGTGCAAATATTTTTTTTTTATTATTGATTTGTAATAAAAAAAAAAAAAAAATTGTCATATGTCTGCTGATTTCAGTATCATAAATAAATAAATAAATAAGTAATTAAATATATTTATCTGGTACTTTGCAATACATGACAATACAATTAAATTGTTGAGTGTAAATCTAATAAAGATGCATAAAATAAATGATATAACGCCCAATGATTAACAACATGAATTAGCTTTTAACTTATTACATAAAATACTTACAAGAGCTTTAACACGATTGCCATAATAAGCGCAGCTTGAAAACAATCATTTAGATTTTATGCATGTATCAAATAATTTTCATTATACATATATTACGCCCATTGTTTTATAAAGTAAAAGTGTAGATTGAATATTTTTAAAAAATGCCACTAATTTAATGTCCAAATAATAAAAAGTTTAAATATGTAAAAAATAAAAGTGTCAAAGTTTAAATATTAAAAAGCAAAAGTAATTGCAAATTCTTTCACGCATATCTCAGCTAATTATAATTATACAACTATTCTGTTCTTCTTGAGAGTCCTCCTTGACAATCTTTGAGATTGCAGACGCAAAAAATAAGCAAGTATATAAATATCTGATTGACGTACGCTTAATTTTTCTTTGGACTTAAAATACATATTTTTTTTTTTTTGTTTTTTCGTGCGTTCAATTCATGTATTCGCATTAAAAGTGATGCAAAACATCTGTTCCTTTAGCGAGATAGGTTTGACGTTGAAAAAGAGGCAATTTGTCTGATTGACAAGACTTATTATAATGATTTGCTAAAGATCGTTGCTGCAGCGCTCATACATTATACATAGATATATAAATAAATTTATAAATGATTATTTTGTTTCATAATTAGTGAAATAATGAATTTTAAGCATAAAACTTTATGATAATAATTATTAGACTGATAAAAAAAATTCTTGAACTATTAAATTAACAATTTTTTTCTATAATTCAAGAGAATAAAATTTTTTTAAATTATTTTCTTAATTCAGGATTTTTATTTCAGTGCAATAATATTAATAATAATAATAATAATAATAATAATAATAATAATAATAATAATAATAGAATGGCATAAGCTAACATGTATAAATAGTTAAAAGTTGTAAAATAACGTATAATGTAATGATAATGAGAGAATGGAAAAATACTTGAATCATGAATAGACGTTTAAAGACATCTGAGTGGTTTAAAAGCCACCCAAGTCCAGATGAGAGCATGGTACTAGACTGGACTGCCAACCATCAGAGTACACTTACAGTGGTGTAGTGTGGATGGGTTTAGTTATATAGAGAACTGGAGAATCCATAGAAGGATTACTCGACAGGCAGTATAGAAAAAAATAAAATAAAAGTACTGAAAGTCAGTGACCACTTGAGTTTGTTCCTTCTACTCGAGAGATAATCTTTTCTTCTCTCAGCTTGTATCTTATACATTAAATTACATTGCTATACGGCGGATAAGAGTCAAGACTCAGGAGTCAAGACTTAAGACGTATACTCCAGAGTAGTTTTATGTAACGTAATGTGAGGCTTTGCTCTCCTTAACAGGCAACATTTTCCTACGACAGGTATGATGAGATTTTATACGGAATATTTGCTGTGTCTTAAGAATACCGACAATAAAGTTGTATCGGTGTGTCTGTCCATGCGATGAGTGCAAGTATTAGAGCTAAGTATCTTGTCCGTATGTAGCAAAATCAGCAAATCGAGTAAGTTAGCAGCTTTTGAGTGTTAATCTTTAATGTATACTCAGAAAAGCGGCATAAAACCCGAGCGGGCTCTTGGACTCATACATGCGGGTTAAATATACATTTATTTATCTTTTTTGCTTAGCTGTGTCTATTTATTTTATTTAGTGTATAGGTATATGCAGCAGTAGTTATAGAGTTGCATCAAGTTGTCGAGTGTTTAGGCCTCGATTCCACGAGTATTAACCGAATATGGTCTTAACTTGAGATTGCGACACTAAAATCATTATAGATTTAAACTCCATTTATCTCTGGCTGAGCCTTACCTCGGCAATACGGCTGCATCTAAAATAGTCTCACGGTGTTTTATTACAAGTTACTTTTATGCCCTACCGCTTAATTACGATGTCAAGATATTTTATTATTTATATTTATAATGTTATAACTTATAATAATAAAGATATTTCGCTTTTTTCATAAGCTACTTAGATTATGAACTGAATAATAAATTGTGGGCGTGGTAAATAAACATTTATTTACCTTTTTCTTATCCCTCATGGAACCTTTTCCTCTGACCATTATTTTACATCCTGTCTCCTGCTCCAGCTGTTTGGCTGTCATACCACGTGGGCCCAGAATCCTTCCAACGAAATTGAACTGTAAAAAAATATAATTTATTGGTTTTTTTTTTTTTTTTGTAAATTACCACTCGGAAGGAGAGTGACTTGAGTGAGTGGGTGGTAAGTGATAAGATTAGATTCCGTCTGACCAATGGACAGATTTTTTTCAATTTAGATGTCTTCAGATCATATGTCTGCTAACTTCAGTGTCATATAAATTTAATTGTCTTTATTATGTATTTTAAGAGGATCCATTATAAATAAATAATAAAACAATGTACTCAATTATAAATAACAATCTAACATACTATATTTTATATCTCACATGTACTAAATATCTGTAACCTCTATTGCGATTGTAAAATGTACAAAAAGGCAATAAATATCTATCTATTATTTAATATTTATTATATTTTCGTGAAAATGTTTGCTGCGTAAAGTAAAGAATCGACGGGCTGTCAACACAAAGTTGATGTTAAGAATGGAGAATTTGACACAAACTTTGTGTTTATTCCCCAGTAACATACAAAATATGTTAATAAAGAGTATATAACACATTTTTTATGTTACAAAATAAAATGACACAAGCTTTGTGTTATTTTAACACAAACCGTTTTCGACACAAATACACAATATTTTTTACTGTGCAGATTAAATTAACCGTCTAATGGCGTTAAATCGGTGATAAAAATCATCACTTTAAATTCTAGTTTTTTTTTTAGATTATATAATTAATCTTTTGAGGAGGAAAAAATTCAATTAATCAATATATCAGGATGTATTTTTATTTTTCATTAATTTTTAATTACAAATATAATCTAATTCAAAATATTATTTAAAATTTAAATAAAAATTCTTTGATTTTTTATAAAATTTTTTTGGAGCATCAAATAATTAATTTTATTTAACAAAAAATATATTTCCAAAAAATTAAAAGAATAAATTATTTTATTAATTAATTATTTACATAAAATTTTGTTTGACAGCAAATCAAGATTTGTTATTTAAAAAAAAAAAAAATAAATCTAATTCAAGATAAAATTAAAAACTGTCAATCTTAAATTTAACAAATAATAATAAAAAAATCCCTGATTTTTCCATGAGATTTTTCTATTGCATCAGATTCTTGACAATTCTAACAATTTTTGACCACCCTCGTTGAGATAAAATTTATCAGGCCAACAGAAAGACATTTTTGATAAACATCTAGATTTTAGGTTTAAAATTAATTTTATTTTAATTAAAATAAAGCAATGCGAGGTAGTTATACATGATATTAAATCGGATTGATATTTATACAGCGTACACTTGACACAGAGAGTGAAGAAAAGGCTTTTTAACCGAGAACTATATGCACTGGGGACATTTATGGACGACATAAAAGGCTAGGTATATAGTTCCGGACAAACGAGTGGGTGTGTCGTCGCATTTAACGGTATTTCAATACAACATATGAACATATGAGAAGAAGAGTTTTAAATATTTTTCTATCTATAAGTAATAAGTAATAAGTAATAAGTAATATAAGGAGAAGGAGGTGAGGATATTTGTAGTAGGTATGTATAATGACCATTTCCCTTTTTGTCTGTTGTTAAATATTTTGCGCGACAAATGTACACGTTCGATTCCCACACGAAGCCGGACACGGGCCGATGCGTAGGAAGATACGTAACTGCGTCCCATTCAGGATGTGAAGTAAGGCTCGCCGACTCGCGAGGCCAGCTTTGAAAGAAGGAGCGCCCGTCGTCATTATAATAGGTGCCGCCGCTCTGTTGCTTGCGAGGAGAAATCGCGCGACCACGAGCAGCCAACTTATAAATCAAATCAACTCTGTATGTGCATACTACGGCTGCATGCACTAAACCGACATTCTTATCGCCTTCTTCACAATCATTCAATGCATTACTCTCAGTACGTGTGTGACAGTATAGATTGACCGTAACGTAATCCTTTAATAACTCATTTTTTACTCCTTACCTCACTTTGCTTTGCTTTACATTATTATTTATTATTTATTTACTTTTTTTATGGAAATTACTTTTATTGTACCGTAAGTCGTCAAGCAATTATACAATCATTAATAATAAATTTCATCTCGCCGTGTCCAATCACTCTCAATGGCGGTCGCTCATATCTTTTAATAGATCATTTGTCACTTGCCGTTTTTATTAACTTCTCACAGAGCTAAAGGACTTGCTGGATTATGTTTATTGTTTTTTTATTACCTTCTATAGAAGTGAATCAACGGTTGAAGTACTGGATTATGTAATGAAGGTTTAATTGAATATCAATTAGTTGAGACGTATGTGTTTCCGTTGGTATTTTATTAAATTAGAATTTTTTAATGTTTAAGTGATAAAAAAAAAAAAAAAAAAAAAAAAAAAAAAAAAAAAAAAAAAAAAAAACTGTTAAGAAAAATTCAAGGGCAAAAAATTACAAAAATTTACTACCTGACCCTCGGAGATTTCGTTATCTAAATGTGAAATTTACAACGACTTAGTTAAATATTTTAGGTAATTGCATGCCTTAAGCGCGAAGCGCGCAGGTATGCTCTACTCTCGCCTAAAAATCGTGATTTCGATTAAAACGTGATTTTCATAATTTAAACGAAAAAAATTATGGATAAAAAGCGTATTGAAATAAATAATAGTAACTATAGAACACATTAAAAAAATTTTCTTATCGATTAAATAAGATTTCTCAGAAAAAACTCGTTTTTCTGATGAATTATTAAATGAATAAGAGCGTGGTATTCATGGGAGCTATGGGCTTGACAACACCACAACTTTGTCAAAAATCACTTTCACGATTTAATTTTTTTTTTTTGTTTTATTCCTGAGGAAGTTTATCAAAACCCTTGTGAAAATTGCGTGTCAAAATAATTCCGTTTCGATACAGTTAATTTTTTTCGATTGTCTTATCGATGACTTTTTCTGCGATTTCGGCAGCCATATGTATTATTTTTCATAAACAGAATTGAAATAACTATATAAACAAGCAGAAACTATACATACATGATGGTATAATTACTAACTGTTTTATCATCTGTTAAAATTTTTCTTTAGTTTGACCTACAGAGGGGATAATACTACTCGCGGGAAAATTCAAATTAAAAACTAATAATTTTTGTTATGATCTAAATATTTTATGTATGATATGAGCGCTTAAGGCATGCTCATTTGGATTTTCCAAACTTTTTTGTTTAGTTTTATAATCTACAGTACTTCAACCTCTATAAAAATGAGAGAATTTTTTTAACAATTAAAAATTTTTTCTTTAAAAACATTTTTTGGAAAATGATAAAAAAAAATCAGAAAATTAGTATTTTTAAAGTTTAAGATGATAAATTTGAAAAATATTATTAAATTTTAAATGTTTATATTTTAAAAAACTTAGTGTTAAATATTTAATACTTTTGTGTAAATTTAATATTTATTCTGTTAAATTTACATAAAAAAATGTTAAATATTTAATACAAAAATTTTTAACACTAAGTTTTTTGACGCAAAATTTTTTACTGTGTAAGCATCTCTATAGGTATATATGTATATTTATGTATGTATATATGTTATAACCTGGTAATAAATAAATAAATAAATAAATTATAAATTTAAAATTGTTGTTAACTTTGCATAAAAGTTTCAAAATTTTCAATTTGACTCTAAAACGAATCGTATTGGACAAAAACTTGAGTCAGAATTGAAAATATCGGCTCTAAAAAAAAATTAATTCTACCGTTGTATAAAATATATTTTTTATCTTCTTAGTATTCACGCATGAGTTACATATTTATGGTTGTAAAAAAAGTACATCGGAAAGATTCGCAATCGTGACATCCGGTGTAAGATATACATATACTGCCCTTTAGTAATTGCTAACGTACAATTAAGTTAGTGACTGAGGGTTTGAGTTTCTATATATAAATTTTTGCTTTATTTTTCTTCAGCAGGCAATAAAAATATATAAATACTCCATGTGCGGTAAATATATGAATACGGTAATAATATTAATATTAACAGGAATAATGCTTGCATATTTACACGTTGTAACGCAATAAGTTGTGTTGGAAGCTAAAAACTTACTCTAGTGTAGTAAGTGTAAGGTGAGTACACATATAGGGCCGTATAGTTATTTTAGTTTTAACACCCGGTGTAAAACTGTTTTTGCAAAACAATTGCGTTTACTATTTGAAATACTTGTAAGTCGTTCAGGCTCAGCCGTTTCTCAATCATTTGAGTTAACATAAAGAGAATTCCTCAACAACGAGTCTCTGTCGTAAAAGTTTTCGATCTTACACAGTACGTGCCGATTACTTTCTAAGTGGTTATATGTTATATGTTATGTAGGATTTAATACCGCCATAAATACTCGATATATCTATCTTATATATCATATCTATTATCCGTTGTTTTATACATACATATTTATTATGTATTATGTATATGTACACGTGCTCGACTAATATATATTTAATTGGTACACATGGGTATGCAGCATGAACATTTTAGCGTACGTGTGCATGAAAAGGATTAAATATAGAACTCTGTAACAATAACCAGCAGCATATGAGAGTATGAAGTGTCTAGAGGTCTTGAGGAAGCATTCTGGGAAATAGAAAGATGAATAGCATTTAAAAACGTTTAATATATCTCATTATCAAAATATCTTTCTACCATCTGGATTTACATTTACATGCACACCAGACATTTAGAATAATAAACTCAAATTATTTTAATAATTCCAGGGAATAAATCCGTTATTCTATAATTATAAAATAATAAAAAATTTATGCATGGATAAATGTATAAATATGTAGGTAGAGATGTTGATTTTTATTATAAAATAATAAAATTTATTTATAAAACTAATAACCATTTTAACAACTGCATCTGCAATAAACGTAAAGTCACCGTGTTGAGAAAGAAAGGGAAACCCGATCATGTGGAATCCAGCGGAGCTTTTTTTAGATTAGTTCCACACTATACAAAAATAAAACTCGTAAGCTTCTTTAATTTATTTCACTGTTTATTTAAGAATTTTAAAATAAAAATAATAAATAATTTTAACGTTAAATTAAGTCAATTTAACTACTAAGAATTTTTATTTTTCTTTTTGCGTGGATTTTTTTTTTATTATGCTCGAGTTTAAGAAATAAATAATAAAAAAATTTGAATAATGTGTATCTGCAGGGATTTGGTCAATTAAACATCACGAATGGCTGACACTAGACGGTATTATTTGTGATCTGTGTATTTTCGAGATACAATTGTGTTAAGAAACACGAGACGCATCACATGTTTTTATCTTAACGTGATCGTCGCGGCCCCAATCTGACTATTTATGAACAATAGATGAGGTGCGCCACCGACCGAGCATTAACCCAAGAAATTAATGGACCGCGTAGACTTTACTAGATATAGTATCGCCCGAAATGTCTCAGTTCCTTTTAATTCAACTATATTGCCTAAGTGAAATAAATAAAATTCATTTACTGGAAAAAAATCTTAAATCTGAACAACGGGAGACTTTGTTTTTATTTAGAACAGTAATCTTGAAATTTTATTTTATTTCTTCTTGCGCTGTAATGACTTTTGGGTAAAAATACCCTTCGATCAATCTAATAATTACGTGTATATCATTTGAAACTTCATGTTTTCTACCATCAATCAATGGGTTATTTATCTCTCGACTACGATTAAGAGTAAGAGAAATTATCCACGTCAGGAAATCCTTACAGTATATTAATTAAAACGGTATAAATAAATGTACTTATTATATTATAAAACGCGTGATATTAATGATTGATTAACAATAAATTGCTGTTATTAACGTGTAAAACATGGTATTAATGTTGAGTAAAAATTTACTTGATTTAAGAGAAAAAAAAAATCTTGAACCAATAAATAATTTTTAAGAAATTATTTGTTTTGAATTAAGCAAAAAAATTATTTGAGTAAAACTAAGAAAAATTTATCTTCAAGAGTTTTTTAAACCAAATAAATTCTTTAAAATTATTTTATGTCCCAAATTTTATGATCAAATTTTTTTATCATTCAATTATACTTATCAAAAAATTAACTTGAGTAAAAAAAAAAGATAAACTTTTTAATCAAGAAAATAATTAAAAATAAAAAATTTTTTAATATTATTTTCTTGGTTTAAAATTTTCTTATACTTGAATCAAATGAATTTTTTAATTAGTATAGCTAATGTACTCCAAAAATAGTTAACTTAATTCAAAATAATTTTTCTTGCTCCAAGAATTTTACTCTTGAATTAAATTAATTTTTTCTTCAGAGTACTTGTAATAAACATAATATAAATAAACAAATGGCCTGAATGCGAATAATGTGAAGGTGGAGAAAATATAATTCAGAGTCGGGGCTTACGAGCAATAATACACACAACACAAGTATATCGTATACATGGTTTAGATCTGAGGACAATAATAAAACAACAACCAGTGTGTTGTTCTATCTTGAGGAAACTAAACGAGGTCGCAATAATAATTGTAAGACGAAATTTAAGACAAACGTAAATATATCGTATAATAACATATTAAAGTGTATCGGTGACTGATGTGTGTATATATGTGTTCACGACGTCCAGTAGTGTGTCCAAACATTAACATCCTGCTGATGGTAAAATCCGAGAAAGACAGGCGGGATAAGTAAAGAGCGAGAGATGAAAACTCTACGGCCTCGTTATAATAACTCGATGCAGAATATACTACAGGATATATGTCTATATATACATGTGTTATATGTGTGTAGGGATGTGAGGCAGTACGTGTTGTACGGCAGTTCTCGGGTCTATTCTTGGCACAAGACTAAAATAAACGCCTGGCTGTACACACATTTCTCTTGGATGCTGTACTGCTGTGCTACTGGCTCTCCTTTTCGTTTGCTCTCATCCCCCTGGTGCTGAAGCCTGCCACGCACCTTTAAGAACCTCAAAACCTCGATCCTTATTATTTATTACTTTTTACTCCAACTTTACGTCCCTTTTATTTATTTTTAAACTCCTGTTTTCTATAAATCATATTCTATTTCAAAATATATCTGTGTTAATATTAAAATAGTCGACTCATAAATAAATCCAATGAGTTTTTTTGTTTGAATTTAATGCAGAGGAAAATTTTCGGATGAAAATGGTCTGAAAAATTTAATATCTTCGTAAGAAATTAATAATAAATATTAAAATTTATTTTATCCCGAAATAAAATCAATAAAAAATTTAACAGAGCTTTAAATTTCCTACCGCAAAATTTAATATAATTTTTTGCACCTCCAATAAATAGTATACTTAAAATTTTGATTTAAAAATTGTAAAAAAATTGAAGCTGTATTTACTAGCAAATATAAAAAGTATAAAGGATAAAAATAAATTTATTGTGATATAAAAAAGTAGCAAAATTATTTGTTTTATAAAATGATCATTGAGGCGTATCAGCCCAGGATTATTATCGAAGCGATTACTGGCGGCTTCAATCCGCTACATGCTGAACATTGTACAGTATAGAAGGCAGACAAGTATCCATCCAATCATCTACACTTTTTTTTGTAATTTATTTCATCTTACATCAATTACAGTGTACTGGTGCTGCTAACTCTTGATAATTTTTTTCTTTGGGTATTATTGGAACCTACATTTCGCCTCCATTAATTTATTTCATTATACGCGTGAGTCAAGCTGCTGGAAAAAATCTTAGGGAACCAATTGATTCAATTTAAGACGGCCTTATCGATTATTACTCTCCGTGTTAAGCTTGTATATAATTATAATTAATAATTTATTAATGGATAGTAAATTTAAAATTTTTTATTTCAATAATAATTTTCGGTAAAGTACTAAAATTATTATAAATACTTACATCTGGATGCTCTTTTACTGGTACATAAACTTTTTCTGTAAGTGTTATAATTTCCCCTTCTGGCTCTGGTAATGTCAGTGGCTCTTTCTTGACACCACTTATTTGAAATAAACTTGCTCGTACTTTTGCAATTTCTGTAAGCAAAAATAATATATAGATTATTTCACTAATTAATTGCAAAATATATTATAATTGCAGATAAAACTGTTCAGAAAAAAAATAATAAGTAATTATAATTTATATATCAACGGCTTAATTAATTAAAGATACTGTATCCAACGATCTTGAGTCGCATGTCAATTAATCTCAAATATATTTATATTTATAGTTTATAAATGTATTAGTTATCTCAACCAGTGGCAATAACAGCTAATATGTAACTGCTTTCATTCCCAATAAATAAATGTCTGCGTGATTAATTACTTATTCCGAGTTTCAAGAGAATTCAAGAGCAAGGAGAAAATTTAAAAAGTGTTTACATTTTTCCATGTCTTTTAGTCCTTTTCACGCTCGAACTCCAACTCGGTGTGTGTATATAGTCAACCAAGATAAATATGAGTAACGCATGTCCTTGACACAATGCTTCATGCATTTTTGCAGGTGCAACAAGGTGTTACGTGTTTAGATTTATGTCGATTACCTCATTGCAGACATTTTAAAAACTATTTTTTATGTTTACTATAAATACATATGTTAATTGAGTTTAGAAAAAAAATATGTTAACTCGGCTGTTATCTAGATCACTGGAATATCTTCAGTATTTGTCAATTCATGATTTACATTCTGCAGATACTTGATTATCTTTTAATGTTAGGTGTTCTGTTTTATAAAAAATAATATTCATTTTCGGAAATACTTTTTTTTAATATCAGAAAAAGTTGTACATTGACATTGAAAATCCTGCAGTTCTTATGAAAGCAATAAAATGTTCTAAGAAGAAATCACGAAACAAAAAAATAATGTTATACAGCTGAAGTAAATACAATTGAAGAAACCTGAAGTAGAAACGAAAGCGTCAAAATTATTCAATAGAAAACTATTGTGATTCACTTTGGAAAATAGTGAAATGAAATGGGAAGTGCTGCAATACAATAGAAAACTACAATATTGTGAGAAGACACATAAGAATAATACAAGAATACAAAAGAAAATCATTGAATTAAAGTATAAAGCGTTAAAACAGCTAGAAGAAAATAAAATATATCGGAAAATATTTAAATAAATAAGAAAATTTCATACTTTAATAGGGAAAAAAATATACTATGTATTACTAAGAAAAAAAATTTAATTGAATAAAAAAATCATTTTTAAGAGTTTCATCATTTTCAATCAAGAAGAAAAATTTTTAAACTAAAAAATGGGTTTAAGAAATTTTTTTATCTTAATTCAAAACAAACAAACTTAAAAATAACTTTTTGGGTTAAGAATTTTCATCTTAAATGAAGTAAATTTTTATTGATAATTTAAGCTCCGATAATAAAAGTAAAATTTCACACGTTCTCTTAATAAACTAGATTAATTTACAAGGACTTGAGTGCAATAACAATTACCAGCAAGAAGTATACGTATCTGAAAACTATGAATAGAAGAGATAAATGAATAAAATCAATGAAATATATTACGACTACTATCGAATTCACATAGATTGAAACGCACGAGGAAATAAACAGCCGTAATTCAGCAATCAATTAAATTTTTCTCAAACTATCTAAATAAATAACCTTCAAAGTAACATTTGTTTATTAGAATGTCTTCAGTAATAGTTTCCTTTTCCATCATGTCGGAGCAGTAAACACAGCTCTTACTGCTGGTAAGTGCAGCTTATTTATTGTTTATAAGAATAAAATCTAAAAAAAAAAAAGCACGACATTCTATTCTACGCTGCACGCGAATTAGAAATAAGTTTGCAATTTTCACGCAAACGCGTCGACAAGTAAAGATCGCGTCATCTATTCAGCGAGGGCGTTTCTGCAATACTCAATCTCTCAAACATTAACCATCGCATCACATCATGTATCATCACATCTTGCTTTCTCACATGGGTTTGCCAACATTTATATTCTTTTTTGCCGAGTCTCGAGACTGCGCACGAGAGGCCTTGCAAATCTAATGACTGGGCGTGGCTCGTAATATACCTAGACTTGTAATCGTGGAAATTTCATGATACTGCAGGTCTTAAGACCGTGGAATAAGTCACTTGTTCTCATACTTTACTGTACGATACCAGACAAATTACATTCGTACATACGTACACCCATATCTACCATCTGAACCGTACTAAATTTTTTCTTCTGCTTTTTTTTTTTAACTTTAATTCGCAGAAAAAAAAACAATTATTGCCTTGTTCTTGTCTGAAGCCAGGATTCGTATATTCGTATATTCGTATGAAATTAAGAATAAATGGTAATTAGCTGAATTTATTATTATTATCATATCTTTTGTTACTGTTAATGACCTCCGGAAGTTGCTTTATATTTAGGTTTAAAGAAATTAGGTGTCTTTAATGACCCAAAATTATATTTAACTGCAGTCTGACGTTATTATGATGTAATGGCAAATTTAAAATTACTCATGCGACTACTGATTTATTTGCCTAGACCGACAAAAAATTTAGTACTATCCATTACTCATTCTTCATTACATTATTAATGTAATAATTACAAATACTAACAATAAATAACAACATTTTTACATACTTTAATTAATTAATTTCGAAATTATTGCTCTCTGTTATTTCAATTAAAATTTCTCAACGCTACACTAATTAATCAGAGTCGATTAATTGAATTTTTTGCGAGTAAAAATCAATCCGTGTATTTTGAATAAAATTTATCTTGATTCAACACATGTGCCTGGGTCTTGTCTACCTACAAGAGTAGGCTCTAGACTCTGGTGTAGACTAATAGCACACGGTCTCGTGTGTATAGATCAATGCACAATACAACACACGAGACCACGCTACCACAACAACATAATATAATATAATACTACGGCAAAGGTTAACGTTTCTACACTGCCCCACTTTCTCGCATGCCTGACCTCTTCGTCCCGTTGTTGTGATGGTTAATGCGCCAATATTTATCATATAATGTGGAAGAAAATTACCCGCGACAATAGAACTACCTTCGCTGCTTTGATTCTCAGTCTGATAACAAATTAATTTACCGAGTAGTATAGAGACAATTAAAATTTCTCTAGTTCACTTCACTACTCCTATCCGAACAATTAACAATATCTGAGGCTAATATCCACCGCAGGTACTTGACTTTTGAAAAATTAATTATTTATACCTGTGTTATTAAAAAAAAAACTGCCAGTTAATTTAATATCTCAGTAATTGAATCTTTTAATTGATTAGTTTAAGTAATCAAACAATAAAGATTCCGAGATATAAATAATCACAACTTTCTCTTCTCTGGGTATATTATTTTTTTATTATTATTCCGACTGGATGCTAATGTAATGTATTATATATTATATATATATATATATATATAAATATAGTATGAAGGTATAATAGTATCATTGTTGTGGTATTGCGGGGTACATAAAGATGCAGTATATAAACTTATCGCCATTTGTCCCCCATGGATGCGTGACTGCAAACAAGGAAGTGCATTTGCGAAGGATAATATACGCCGATGGACCCGGCTAGATAATGACCGGCAAACTCAACAAAGATTCGTGACTCTTAACTTGAGACTCTCTACTCGAGATCATGTCCTCGAGGAAGAAATTTGAAGCTCACGAGTGTGCACCATAACTAAATGAAAACAACGGCAACAATAACTAAGACAAAGAGTCTATAAAAAAAAAATATTTCCTGTCAAGTTTGATCGTCATTGATTCGCCTCCAGAGAGAAAGTCCTATCATAAATAATATTATATATTTTTTTGCAGTAAAAAAAAAAAACTCCATATTTTTTTCATTTAAAATTCATCGTTTCAATACAAGTTATAAAAACATTAAATTGTCTTTCCAATTTGATGTTCTTATCTTGACAAAAAAAATCAATTTTATTCAAAAGAAAAAATTTTTTTCGAGTAAAAAATTATTTCTTTTTGATTCGAAATTTTTTCTCTTGAATCAAATTAATTTTTTTTTATCAATGTTCTAAAAATGTCTAACCCTTTTTTTCACCAAACATTTTTAATAAACAGTAAAACTATTTATAGAATGTATTTATAAATCATAAGTTGACGAACAATGTATCATATTGATTAGATTACTCAGAAACTAATGCATCAATCGTCTAGAGAATGACAAAAAGAATAAGATTACGGGTACATTTAGCAAACAGCGATCAAATGGAATGGATATTCTACTGTCGTCTGAACGAATGAGCATGACATCAGCTGACTAGTGAGCACTACAAGGTTCGCTGGCTTTTTTCCTCTCATCTCCTCTCTATCTCTGACTCTCTGGTTGACTCTGTACTACTCAGACCTGCTCTACTCTACTCTTCTATTTTATATATCTACAGCATACGACATGCTATGCCGTGATGCTGCAGTATATACTTCACTCCCTTTACTTGGCTCAATAACAAGCGCATCATGCCGACCTCCACTCTCTTTACATTATATTATGTATATGCCTACACGAGAAAATGAACACACCCGTTGATTGTGACAGACGCCTGGCTAGGCTGACTATCATTGCTATTGCGGTTTTGCCCAACACACTCTACGCTACTCCCACATCCATGCACACTGACATCTGTCATTTTTTGATGCCCTATAATTAATCATCTCAAATTCTTAACATAAACTTTAATGGCCTTTTTTATTTTTTTTTTTTTTTCGTTACCTATTACGTTATTTATGTTTTATAAATAAATTATTTTCAACACTCGGTTTTATTCTTGCTAAAAATACTCATCGGCATTTTATTATTATGGTTATTTTAAAATAATAATAATAATAATAATAATAATAATTGTTATTATTATTATTAAAATATTTGGTAGACTAAACTAGACATCCCTGCTCTATAGTTTTTTTAGTATTTTTATTACGTCACTGTACTACTATGCATAATGAGTAACTACTTAAAACACATTTGATTTAATTCCTTTTTTTTTTTTTATTCAACTCATTAATAATATACGAACTTATATTAACTCGAATCGCTGCTTTTATTCCATTCATTTTTATTTATTTTTTATTTTATTCATTGGGTCTCTGAAGCAAAGTAAAGACAGACGTCTGGACCCAGTAAACCGTATATAAACGAATAATGTAAGGATGTTGAATCGATAAGGCAAAAGACGAGGATCGGAACCTCTGAATCCAGAGGTAAATGGCCCCATTTATTAAAGAATTTTTTACAGAATATCGATGTAATGATAAAATATTGTCAATTATCATTTTTTTACCTTCCTAAAGGTAATTTTATTAAATTTATGTTAAAAATATAATATATGGAAGCTTGGATAAAAAAAAGATTTTTAAATTAAATTAATCTGCGCGTCGAATATCTTGAAGAATTTATGATTCATTCGTCGTAGACAATAACAAAAGGTATTACGTATTTATGTTATAAATTAAAAAATTACCGGGTAGTTAATGAGAACTAATGGATAATTTGTAAGGTAGTAAATATATAATAATGGTAATAAATTATAAACGGCATTAATTTGTCGGAAAATTAT